ATTCATATCACGATATTTTCCACTGTCCAGACGATATCGATATGATATCACGATATATGACGTAAAAAAATATGAATCACATTTTAATATCCCTTCTTGGTTAAATTATATTAGTTAAGGAAAAATATGTATTTTAACCTTATATAACCAGAAAGAGTGAGGCATTGGACCGTATGGACCTGAAAAGTTTTTATTTGTATTGTGCAAACATGCATTCCGTAAACATGAGGTAGGTAGGCCTATATATATATATATATATATATATATATATATATATATATATATTAAGTAAAATTAAATAAAAAATAACAGGAGATAAAGAAAATAAGGTAATTACAAATTCAAATACGTGTGTTTGTTTTGGCTACGGTCCGTAGATATGTAAAAAACTAACCGTTTGAAACTAAACCTTTCAAGCCTCAACCATCAATTATCAACAATATCAACAAATCTTCACTAGAACTTTCTTCACAAGTTCCGTGCCAGGAATACCAGCATGTTGACTGTTTCTGGCTTTAGTGCTGCCCTGTGACATGTCACCACATTGCCCCCAGTGCTGAATGCCCTCTCAGAGGGGGCACTTGTGGCAGGGATGCATAAGTATTTCTTTGCCAGACAACTCACACGTGGAAAATTAGATCCGTGAAATCGCCACCACTCCAAAGGATCAGACTCGCTGTCTGCTGCCGTTGCCAGAATGTAGCTATTCAGCTCTTGCTCAATGATCTGCCTCTCTGAACATGAGGCAGGTGCACTGCTGGTCTGCTTAAAGAAGCTCCCAAGGCTCTTCTTGGGCTTCTTGCCTGATTGATGAGCAGTGGAAGCTTCTTTCTCCCTGTCAGTGTGATCCTCTGCAAGAGACGATTTTCCCAGGGCTGTGTTCTCCACCAGGAGGGCTTCGGTCTCTGAGGCAGCTCTCACCTTAAAAAATGAAAATAATTAAACTTTATTTGTATAGCACCTTTCATACATAAAATGCAGCCCAAAGTGCTTTACATTTGAAGCAATAAAACAAGAACAAATGAATAAATACCTTAATGTCCTCCAGTTTCTCAGCGGACATGTACCTGGTCTTGAACCTTGGATCTAGAAAGGTAGCCATGGAGAGCAGCTCATCTGTTGCAGGGTCAGTGTACTTGTTATTCAAGTAATCAAGAACCTTGATCTTGATCTCTTTGGTCAGTTCTGTATCGTCCTTGCTCAGATTTAGAACCTCTGCATTTAACAGATTGATGACAGGCTTCAAATAGGACACGCTCACATACGCTTCTCCTGACAGGGCATCTGTAAAGTCCTGGAGTGGCTTCAGTGCTGCTGTGACTGATTCCAAGACCTGGATGTCTTGCCAGGTAGGTACAAGGTGCCGTGTCTTTTTGTCCCCTGCCAGGACCTGTGTAATGGCCTTTTCCTGCTCCAGGACTCTTTCCATCATTTTCAGACGAGATCCCCACCTTGTCGGAGATTCTGTGATGAGCTTGTGCAGGGGCAGGCTTAGTTCATTCTGTGCTGTCATCAGGGCCTTCTGCTTTTTCCAGCTGTATGAGAACGTGCTAACCACCTTTTTGCAAACCCCTGTGGCCCGGGAAATCGCACACCCCTGTGGCCCGGGAGCGTTTTGGACACTCCTCTCTGGAAATTGGGAATAAGAAATCAAAATAATAGGGTGAAAAATAATCAAATCACAATACAATAATAATTAATAATAATGCATTTTTATATAGAAATCACAATACAATATAACTTTTAATCTTTGTTTGAGGATTTACGGCATTTACATTCAACTGTTACACATTTTACAAATCTGATGTGCTTAGATTTAGCCTACGGTACATGGCTGATGTGAGCTGTATTTTTTCTTAATAATAAGCATCATACAGGGTAGGCCTAGGCTACAGTCCTGAAACTTACCAATAGCATTGTGCAGCCTGTGTCCGAAACATCCAAGGTTTGCCCACTTGTTCAGCTGCAATGCCTTGATCATGTTCGATCCGCTGTCGGTCGTCATACAAACTTGACGCGACTCTTTTAATCCCCAGGACGACAGTATGTCCCTCAGCCCACCTGCAATTATTTCCCCGGTGTGGTCGTCTGGGAAATAAGACGTCTGTAGGCACTTACTTTTCAGTTTCCAGTCACCGTCTATGTAATGGATTGTGAGGCTTATATAAGGTTCTGTGGTACGACTTGACCATAGATCGGCAGTAGTGGAGAAGAATGGAATGTTATTTATCTCACTGTAAACTCTGTCCCAGCATTCTGTGTAAAGCTGTGGCAGGCATTTTTGGCTAAAATATTTGCGGCTCGGGATCTCATATCTTGGGTCCAGAGTTTGAATCAACTTTCTGAACCCCTCTTTCTCCACAGTTTGAATCGGTACCATGTCCTTCGCTATGTGATTTGTAATCGCAGCTGTGATGTCTATCCATTTTTTGCTCGTCTTCTCATAGCAAGTACCGGCAGCAAATGATGATATAATTGATTGTTGAGTGCGAGTCTGGCTTGTCTTCGGGCGAGCTCCTGGGCTTACTGTCTCACGCATTCTGGTGCATTGTTCATACTCACGGACATGTATGTTTTTTAAGTGATTGAACAGGTTGGTCGTGTTTCCACCTTTTGCTAAGACAACACGACGACACAACTTGCATAGGGTAGTGTTTTGGTCGGGGTCGGAGATTTTAAAGCCAAACCAGTTCCAAACAACAGAGGTGCCCCCTTTCTTCTTAACCAATTTATCCTCCTGCTCTTGAGCAACATCAATTTCTGTGTTTTCGCTCATCCTGGATTGTAAAGTTTTCCCCCAATAGTTAACCTGCCTCCTAACTGCAGCTGCCTGCACACTTCTTTGTTGCTAGCACTACATGCGTGCAACAAGTGCATGCGACGTGCGCTCATAAAAATAGGTCAACATATTAACATACATTCTTTTATTCGTAAGAACCAAGAAAGGTTGGATAAAAAAAAAAAAAAAAAGATGTAGCTACTTAGTACTATCACTCAGTTGAAATTTGGAACAAAAAAATATTGATGCAAAATTCGAATTTATGAATTCTGAATAAATCGCGGTATCCATGATATTGCTAAATCCATATCATGGCGCGGCACAATACCGGTTTTTACTATCAAACCGGTATATCGCCCACTCCTAGGTTTAGGTAGAGGATGGTGCTGGCTAGTAGTGGTGCTATGGTTTAGGTAGAGGATGGTGCTGGCTAGTGGTTAGTAGTGGAGCTATGGTTTAGGTAGAGGATGGTGCTGGCTACTGGCTAGTAGTGGGCTATGTTTTAGGTAGAGGATGGTGCTGGTTAGTAGTGGAGCTATGGTTTTGGTAGAGGATGGTGCTGGCTAGTGGTTAGTAGTGGAGCTATGGTTTAGGTAGAGGATGGTGCTGGCTACTGGCTAGTAGTGGGCTATGTTTTAGGTAGAGGATGGTGCTGGTTAGTAGTGGAGCTATGGTTTTGGTAGAGGATGGTGCTGGCTAGTAGTGGGCTATGGTTTAGGTAGAGGATGGTGCCGGCTAGTGGCTAGTAGTGGTGCTATGGTTTAGGTAGAGGATGGTGCTGGCTAGTGGCTAGTAGTGGAGCTATGGTTTAGGTAGAGGATGGTGCTGGCTAGTGGCTAGTAGTGGAGCTATGGTTTAGGTAGAGGATGGTGCTGGCTAGTGGCTAGTAGTGGAGCTATGGTTTAGGTAGAGGATGGTGCTGGCTACTGGCTAGTAGTGGTGCTATGGTTTAGGTAGAGGATGGTGCTGGCTAGTAGTAGTGTTATGGTTTAGGTAAAGGATGGTAGTGGAGCTATGGTTTAGGTAGAGGATGGTGCTGGCTAGTAGTGGTACTATGGTTTAGGTAGAGGATGGTGCTGGCTAGTAGTAGTGGTACTATGGTTTAGGTAGAGGATGGTGCTGGCTAGTAGTGGTGCTATGGTTTAGGTAGAGGATGGTGCTGGCTAGTAGTAGTGGTACTATGGTTTAGGTAGAGGATGGTGCTGGCTAGTAGTAGTGTTATGGTTTAGGTAGAGGATGGTAGTGGAGCTATTGTTTAGGTAGAGGATGGTGCTGGCTAGTAGTAGTGGTACTATGGTTTAGGTAGAGGATGGTGCTGGCTAGTAGTAGTGGTACTATTGTTTAGGTAGAGGATGGTGCTGGCTAGTAGTAGTGGTACTATGGTTTAGGTAGAGGATGGTGCTGGCTAGTAGTAGTGGTACTATTGTTTAGGTAGAGGATGGTGCTGGCTAGTAGTAGTGGTACTATGGTTTAGGTAGAGGATGGTGCTGGCTAGTAGTAGTGTTATGGTTTAGGTAGAGGATGGTAGTGGTACTATTGTTTAGGTAGAGGATGGTGCTGGCAAGTAGTAGTGGTACTATGGTTTAGGTAGAGGATGGTGCTGGCTAGTAGTAGTGGTACTATGGTTTAGGTAGAGGATGGTGCTGGCTAGTAGTAGTGTTATGGTTTAGGTAGAGGATGGTGCTGGCTAGTAGTAGTGTTATGGTTTAGGTAGAGGATGGTGCTGGCTAGTAGTAGTGGTACTATGGTTTAGGTAGAGGATGGTGCTGGCTAGTAGTAGTGTTATGGTTTAGGTAGAGGATGGTGCTGGCTAGTAGTAGTGTTATGGTTTAGGTAGAGGATGGTGCTGGCTAGTAGTGGTGCTATGGTTTAGGTAGAGGATGGTGCTGGCTAGTAGTAGTGGTACTATGGTTTAGGTAGAGGATGGTGCTGGCTAGTAGTAGTATGGTTTAGGTAGAGGATGGTAGTGGAGCTATTGTTTAGGTAGAGGATGGTGCTGGCTAGTAGTAGTGTTATGGTTTAGGTAGAGGATGGTAGTGGAGCTATTGTTTAGGTAGAGGATGGTAGTGGAGCTATTGTTTAGGTAGAGGATGGTAGTGGAGCTATGGTTTAGGTAGAGGATGCATGTGTGCCTCCTAGATTCAGTAAAAGCTGTGTCGGTCACAGAAGCCCTCAGGTTTCCCCTGGTGGATTTTGCCTTTAGCCTTAAGGACGGTACACAATGGAGGCACAGTTTATTAAGAAGTTGAGAGAAATGGGCTGTGACAGCTGCGACTGGGAGAGCACGAAAGAGGTCTTCTCCAACATGGTGGAGGCTAGGGCATTTCAAAAGCTCCTCTGCTTTCTCAGGTGCCAGAGAGTCAGTCAGCAAGCGGGCCGTGTTGGTTTTTCTGCCATGGGATGGAGCTGGAGATATGGGGGGAAGTGGGTTTGTCTTTGTACCTGCATCTGACTGCATGCTTGTTAAATTGTCTCATTTTTATATATATATATATATATATGGTTTAGAATCCTCCCTTCTCTCTCCCTCTGTCGGAGAAGAGAACCCGAAGACTGGAGAGCTTAAATAAAAATCCTCCATCCAGGTTCTTATCTCGTTCCCACAGGGAAGCAAATGGGACCTGAAAGGCGTAATAATTAAGCGAAGAGGGGTGAGGATGGTATAATTTTAGCCCCAACTAGTATAGGCATGTCCCTGGCTGCTCCAGGCCCAAATCAGGCCCTCTATTAGGGAGTCCTCTCCAGTCCTCATCCTGGTGGGATAAAGTGCCATTAAAGCTATTTCCAGCACACAGATTATCCCCTGACCTTTGATTCTGGCTGACCTGGGTTCTCCTGGGACTTCAGGACTTTAGAGTCAGGGTTTAGGGACTAATTAGTTGCTATGAGTGAGCTAATTTTGTTTGTTTGAAGTTGGATTGAGATTATAATTTTTTTGTTGATGCTCACTCTGTTTTCGATCGGAACCCCTTTTTTGGGTGTTTTTCATCACTATGGAAATTAGTTCTGAAAACGTTGGACTATTTTGAGGCAAGATCCAACATTACGTAAGAGGTGGTTAAGCCAAATGCACTTGATATGTTCGATGCTGGAGAGTGTGTGTGTGTGTGTGAGCAAAAGAGAGAGGGCTGGAGACCTGGGAGTCTTGCTGCTTAACCAGGCTCCGGAATCTGACACTGATGAAGCCCCCCCCCCCTTTTAGTAAGGTGTGCATAGCTGAGATCCTTGGCCAGGGTGCAGACCTAAACCCCTCCACCCCACCCTACTGCTAAACCCCTGGTTAGGACATTCCCAGATTGGGTAGGAGGAGAGGTGGTAGAGTGGTGCCAGTCTGTGAGGGTCCGGTCCGGCAACACAGGAAATTCCAGAGGGGTGGTGGACCTGCCACAAATTAGCTTGCTGAGAATGTCACCTTAGCATGAATCGCCTTGCTGCAAATGAAGCCAATGAAAGTCACCTAGTGCTGTTTATATATATATATATATATATATATATTTATTTATTTATTTAGGGATATCATTTGCTAGCATTTTTTATATGTTGGGCAAGATTGGGTGTAGTCAAAATGTATAGGATGGGTTGATGGATGACTTTCAGATCAAGCGTATAGCCTTTTGAAATATCATGCTATACGTTTACCCATCATTCTTATACACACCAAAATAGATTGACAGTTTTTTCAGACAAAGCAGTATATCCTTTAGAAATGCTGTTTTGACTGTACAAGTCAAGCAGATCCAGGGCCAGTGCTGGGTGCTCTGATCGTGAATAGTAGATTTAGCATGGCTAAGCAGTACCATGTGTTCAGTGCTGTTGGAGCGTGTAAGCGGCTGGGGGTCTGGCCAGGGTGGAGGGGGGGGGGGGGGGGGTTGTGCAGGTCTCTGTGTCAGCCCAGAGGTGGGGGGTGGTAGGGAAGGGGGTGCTGTGGCCAGACCACTGCTGACGTGATTAACCCTGCCTTTTGGTTCTACCGCAGACGTCTCTAAGAGATCTCTCTCTCCTTCTCTTTCTTGTTCTCCTCTTTCAATTCAAGGGGCTTTATTGGCATGGGAAACATATGTTATTTCTCTCTCTCATCCTCCTTCCCTCTTTCTCTTGCCCTATCTTTTTCTCTCTATCACCCCTCCTCCATCCCTCATCCCTCCTACTCCCCTCCTTCCCCCCGGCGCTGGCTCTGTAATGAACTCCTCTTATTCACCGGCTAATGACTGCCTTTGATCTCACCGTTAAGACCTCTGCTCTAACTCTACCCTGTGGGGCTCTCTCTTTCACTCTCCCCCTTCTTTCCTCCCCCCTCTGCCCTTAAGCAGGAAATAGGGGCAGTACTCACTGACCAAGGCTAAACAAAGTTTTGAGGTGTTTGGGGAAAGGCTGGAAGGGGAGGACATTGAGACCTCCCTTGCGGGAAGGTGTTTTATTTTTTTACTGCGCCATTAAAGCCCCCATGCAGTTTTATTTTATTTTACGTATGTCTAATAAATCTGTTTATTTCATGAAAATAACTCCATGCCACCTGAACAAAATATATTTGTAATAATTTATTTCCCTGAAATGCTCAGTCTGATTGTGTGGGCGTGTTGATACAAATGTAAATATATTTACATACACAACCCTGATTGGCGGATAGGATGGTCTAGACTCTAGAGCCTACCCCACTTACCCCTTCAAAGTAGGAGGATACATGCAGTGGGGAGAACAAGTATTTGATACACTGCCGATTTTGCAGGTTTTCCTACTTACAAAGCATGTAGAGGTCTGTAATTTTTATCATAGGTACACTTCAACTGTGAGAGACGGAATCTAAAACAAAAATCCAGAAAATCACATTGTATGATTTTTAAGTAATGAATTTGCATTTTATTGCATGACATAAGTATTTGATACATCAGAAAAGAAGAACTTAATATTTGGTACAGAAACCTTTGTTTGCAATTACAGAGATCATACGTTTCCTGTAGGTTTTGACCAGGTTTGCACACACTGCAGCAGGGATTTTGGCCCACTCCTCCATACAGACCTTCTCCAGATCCTTCAGGTTTCGGGGCTGTTGCTGGGCAATACGGACTTTCAGCTCCCTCCAAAGATTTTCTATTCGGTTCAGGTCTGGAGACTGGCTAGGCCACTCCAGGACCTTGAGATGCTTCTTACGGAGCCACTCCTTAGTTGCCCTGGCTGTGTGTTTCGGGTCGTTGTCATGCTGGAAGACCCAGCCACGACCCATCTTCAATGCTCTTACTGAGGGAAGGAGGTTGTTGGCCAAGATCTCGCGATACATGGCCCCATCCATCCTCCCCTCAATACGGTGCAGTCGTCCTGTCCCCTTTGCAGAAAAGCATCCCCAAAGAATGATGTTTCCACCTCCATGCTTTACGGTTGGGATGGTGTTCTTGGGGTTGTACTCATCCTTCTTCTTCCTCCAAACACGGCGAGTGGAGTTTAGACCAAAAAGCTCTATTTTTGTCTCATCAGACCACATGACCTTCTCCCATTCCTCCTCTGGATCATCCAGATGGTCATTGGCAAACTTCAGACGGGCCTGGACATGCGCTGGCTTGAGCAGGGGGACCTTGTGTGCGCTGCAGGATTTTAATTAATGACGGCGTAGTGTGTTACTAATGGTTTTCTTTGAGACTGTGGTCCCAGCTCTCTTCAGGTCATTGGCCAGGTCCTGCTGTGTAGTTCTGGGCTGATCCCTCACCTTCCTCATGATCATTGATGCCCCACAAGGTGAGATCTTGCATGGAGCCCCAGACCGAGGGTGATTGACCGTCATCTTGAACTTCTTCCATTTTCTAATAATTGTGCCAACAGTTGTTGCCTTCTCACCAAGCTGCTTGCCTATTGTCCTGTAGCCCATCCCAGCCTTGTGCAGGTCTACAATTTTATCCCTGATGTCCTTACACAGCTCTCTGGTCTTGGCCATTGTGGAGAGGTTGGAGTCTGTTTGATTGAGTGTGTGGACAGGTGTCTTTTATACAGGTAACGAGTTCAAACAGGTGCAGTTAATACAGGTAATGAGTGGAGAACAGGAGGGCTTCTTAAAGAAAAACTAACAGGTCTGTGAGCGCCGGAATTCTTACTGGTTGGTAGGTGATCAAATACTTATGTCAGGCAATAAAATGCAAATTAATTACTTAAAAATCATACAATGTGATTTTCTGGATTTTTGTTTTATATTCAGTCTCTCACAGTTGAAGTGTACCTATGATAAAAATTACAGACCTCTACATGCTTTGTAAGTAGGAAAACCTGCAAAATCGGCAGTGTATCAAATACTTGTTCTCCCCACTGTATGCATTGGTCCAGAATAATCAGATCGTGATGTCATGCTGTGGGCCAAAAACTCCATGCCACCTGAACAGGCTGAAATTACAGGTGTTTTTCCTCCCCTCCAAAATCTCTTACACTAAAAGGGCATTATAATTTTCACAATTTCAGTCTTATTTCGACCTCATGGAAATATAATTAAAAACAGGAAAATTGTGACTGCACCGGCTCTTTCATCTTACCAGCTCCTGTGTGTGTGTGTGTGTGTGTGTGTGTGCTACACAAATCCCCAAACGGCCGTACCCTTGTCATTTGAGAGAGGGCCGGGACTTGATTTAGCGCTGGAAAACTCTGGAAATGCTAGCTGCTAACTGACTTGAGGAAAGGTAATGTAATGCCTTATCTAACGTGCTTCTCTCTCTCCCCCCTCTCCAGTCCAATAAGGTTCCGGTGGTGCAGCCGTCGCATGCGGTCCATCCACTCACCCCTCTCATCACGTATAGCGACGAACACTTCGCCCCGGGACCCCACTCCGGACACCACCCCCAGGACGTCAACCCCAAACAAGGTAGGCAATGCCCCGCTCCACTCCAATCACTAAACCAGTGGACATCATTAACCATGATAGTCCCACTAAGCACAAACCAGATTGGATGGCGTATCGCTGCAGAATGCTGTGGTAGACATGCTGGTTAAGTGTGCCTTGAATTCTAAATAAATCACAGACCGTGTCACCAGCAAAGCACCCCCACACCATAACACCTCCTCCATGCTTTACGGTGGTAACTACACATGCAGAGATAATCCGTTCACCCACACTGCATCTCACAAAGACACGGCGGTTGGAACCAAAAATCTCCAATTTGGACTCCATTGCTCGTGTTTCTTGGCCCAAGCAGGTCTCTTCTTATTGGTGTCCTTTAGTAGTGGTTTCTTTGCAGCAATTCAACCATGAAGGCCTGATTCACACAGTCCCCTCTGAACAGTTGATGGTGAGATGTGTCTGTTACTTGAACTCTGAAGCATTTATTTGGGCTGCAATTTCTGAGGCTGGTAACTCTAATGAACTTATCCTCTGCAGCAGAGGTAACTCTGGGTCTTCCATTCCTGTGGCGGTCCTCATGAGAGCCAGTTTCATCATAGCGCTTGATGGTTTTTGCAACTGCACTTGAAGAAACTTTCTAAGTTCTTGAAGTTTTCCGTATTGACTGACCTTCATGTCTTAAAGTAATGATGGACTGTCGTTTCTCTTTGCTTATTTGAGCTGTTCTTCCCATAATATGGACGTGGTCTTTTACCAAATAGGGCTATCTTCTGTATACCCCCCCTACTTTGTCACAACACAACTGATTGGCTCAAACACATTAAGAAGGAAATAAATTCCACAAATTAACTTTTTAAGAAGGCACACCTGTTAATTGAAATGCATTCCAGGTGACTACCTCATGAAGCTGGTTGAGAGGATGCCAAGAGTGTGCAAAGCTGTCATCAAGGCAAAGGGTGGCTATTTGAAGAATCTCAAATATAACAACTATTTTGATTTGTTTAACACTTTGTTGGTTACTACATGATTCCATATGTGTTATTTCATAGTTTTGATGTCTTCACTATGATTCTACAATTAAAAAAATAGTAAAAATAAAGAAAAACCCTTGAATGAGTAATATGTCTCATGTTTTGAGGGAGCATGCAATTGGCATGCTGACTGCAGGAATGTCCACCAGAGCTGTTGCCAGAGAATTCAATGTTCATTTCTCTACCATAAGTCGCCTCCAACGTCGTTTTAGAGAATTTGGCAGAACGTCCAACCAGCCTCACAATAGCAGACCACATCCGGCTTCTTCACCCGCGGGATCGTCTGAGACCAGCCACCCGGACGGCTGATGAAACTGTGGGTTTGCACAACCGAAGAATTGTCAGAAACCGTCTCAGAGAAGCTCATGCAGTTCCGCATTGGAACCAACTTCAGTGGGCAAATGCTCACCTTCGATGGCCACTGGCACGCTGGAGAAGTGTGCTCTTCACAGATGAATCCCGGTTCATCTGTATCGGGCAGATGGCAGACTACATGTATGGCGTCGTGTGGGCGAGCGGTTTGCTGACGTCAACGTGTGTGCCCCATGGTGGCGGTGGGGTTATGGTATGGACAGGCATAAGCTACGGACAACGAACACAGTTGCATTTTATCGATGGCAATTTGAATGCACAGAGATACTGTGACAAGATCCTGAGGCCCATTGTCGTGCCATTCAACCGCCGCCATCACCTCATGTTTCAGCATGATGATGCATGGCCCCATATCGCAAGGATCTGTACACAATTCCTGGAAGCTGAAAATGTCCCAGTTCTTCCATGGCCTGCATACTCACCAGACATATCACCCAAAAGAGCATGTTCGGGATGCTCTGGATTGACGTGAATGACAGCGTGTTCCAGTTCCTGCCGATATCCAGCAACTTCACACAGCCATTGATGAGGACTGGGTGAACATTCCACAGGCTACAATCAACAGCCTGATCAACTCTATGCAAAGGAGAGGTGTCGAACTGCATGAGGCAAATGGGGGTCACACCAGATACTGACTAGTTTTCTGATCCATGCCCCTACTTTTTTTTTTAAGGTATCTGTGACCAACAAATGCATATCTGTATTCCCAGTCATGTGAAATCCATAGATTAGGGCCTAATGAATTTATTTCAATTGACTGATTTCCTAAAATGAACTGTAAATCAGTAAAATCTTTGAAATTGTTGCATATTGCGTTTTTTATATTTTTGTTCTGTGTAGTAAAGATATTCACATCACACTGTATTCATCACTACCCATCTCCACAGAGGCATGAAGCCAAAGCTATTCCTCTGAGGGAAATGTAACATAAGTTCACCCAACCACCTACACAAGGTGGTTAGGTGACGATCTGTCTCAGAGAAAGAAAACTAGAACACATTCCTCCACACGGCGTACTGCATCTCCCCACCTACCTGCATAAAGCAGACAGCTCCTCAGACAAGGCAAGGCAGTCGGCTTTACCGCACTGCTGAAAACCTCTTTCTCTCTTCATTTTCCTCCCTCCATTCGTCACCCTATATCTGACACTCTTTCTCTCGCTCTCTCTTTCTGTCTGTCTGGGTAAAAACGTCAAGGTAAAATCCCTGACAGGCGCTAGAGCACAAAGGCAGTTGGAAAGCCCAGGCACGGTCAGGGTGAGACTTTGGCAGAGGTTCATAGGCCTTGTACTGGTCTGGCCCCGGCCCTCCATATGCGCTCCCCTCCCCTCTTCTCCTCCCCTCTTCCTTCCGGCTGCAACGCAACAGCCCCCCCTCCTCCACTTAAAAGCAGGAGGCAGACCAGACAGGATGCGATGTGTGATGACGAGGCAGTTGAGTAAATAATCCAATATGGCCACCGTACACCAGATCCATCCAGACATCGTAGTGATCTTATGTACCTGTACACAGCAGGACAACTGAATAGGGGATTTAGTGGGAACTCACATTTGAAAGCCTACATTTGCTCCAGAAAGTCATTCACTTCCCTTGTAGCTACAGGATTTCTTTACAATAATGCTTTCCAGAGTGCTCCGTTTTTACATTTTGGTCCTCACTTACAGTCCTCATACATTTTGGTGTGAGTAGTCCCCAGGGATTGAGTATGAGGGTTGATGATAAACATAGCAGAGAATGGAGTTATATGAAGAAACCGCTGGAGGAGATCTGAGTTTAAATCGATCCACACACTCCCATAGCCTGGACTGGTCCATGTAGAAGAGATCTGCTAGATCAATTAGCTATAAATTAAGTCCCCTGGCATTTCCAGACCTAGATACTGTAAAAGAGCTAAAGATATGTAGGAAAGAGAGGGTAGTCTCTATCCATCTCTCTTTCTCTCGCTCTTTCTATCACACTTTTGCCTATTCGTTCTCTGTGTTATATATATATATTTTTCATCAGCCACTCGGCTCGCTACACTCCATAGCGGGATCAGGACTTTGATCTTCTCATTAATCATTTTAAAAAATCATGGATGTTCTCATTATGGGCCCTAATAAGCTCTAATATGTGCCGGGCGGTAACGCCGGATCGAAGGTCGAACTCCAGAGCCCTTTGAACATGCAGATTTCAGACTTCACATTGTAATTTACAATGAAAAAATGAAACACTTAAAATATAATATTTTAATATGAGATCATATATTGGAATACAAGGTATGTCTAGATTTGGATAAGGGTATGAAAATGTTTGAGGTAGTGTTTTCTGAGAAGCAAGGCTAGGAGGGTAAAATGGTGTGAAGCGTGTTGATGTTAGCGAGTAATTACACACCTTTTTAGTGCTTTGAGTTGGTGTTAACACTGAGCTCCCCTCCCTCCGTCTCCATCTCTCTCCCTTCCCTCCTGACTTTCCTATCCTTCTCACTTTCCCTCCACCCTTTGCTCCTTACATCTCCCATTCCTCTCTCTCACTCTCCCCTTCCTTTCACTCCCTCCCTTTCCTCCCATCCCTCCCTAGTGCCCTACAGAGCACCCTGAGACTGGGGTGGTGAATAAGTGGGCTGGGGGTGCTGGAATCCAGCGTTGCTACAGTGGCTTTGGAGATAAGCCTCCTCTCTCTGCCCCTCTGAGGGAGTTAGACCCCTTTTAGACTGCAGCCTGAGAAGAAAGAGGGAGGGGGATGGAGAGAAGGGGTGAGGGAGAAAAGCCTGGATCCATCTGGGATTAGGAGATGGTGTTAATCTGGAGGCACTTGCCTTTTCTTCTGTCTGTCTCTCTCTCTTCTGTCTGTCTCTCTTCTGTGTCTCTCTCCTCTGTGTCTGTCTCTCCTCTGTGTCTGTCTCTCTTCTGTCTCTGTCTCTCTTCTGTCTCTGTCTCTCCTCTGTGTCTGTCTCGCTCTGTCTCTCTCTGTGTGTGTGTATGTCACTGCAGGGCCTTCTACACGGGCCTACACAGCACACCTTCACTATAGCTCCCAGTCTGACATATCCATTTACTAGGGACCTTCATTTCCTTCACCCTCCCCTCTTCCCTCTCTCCGTCCCTCCATTCCAGTTTAACTTCTCTCCAGCCTCCACAACAAGCGGAGGGAGGCTGAGAGTCCTTGACCTTGAAGCCCAAGAGGCCTAGCGTTGATGAAGAGCGGGAGAGCTTAGCTGTGTTGAGGAGCCAGTGACAGTACAGAGCCCCAGTGAATGCTGTCTGCAGGGAGCGTTACAAGAAGCACAGAGAGACGGGCCTTAATGAACACTGATCCACTTCTAGAGAGACGGACTGGAGGGCTACATGGGGGCAAATGTGAACCTTTCTGTGTCTATTATTATAATAATACACACTTGGCACACCGCCACACACACGTACAGTTCATACACTGAATTCCAACACCGCATGGCACAGATGTCCTTGTCATGTCAGTGACATGCAGGATCAAACCATTCAAAGATGCTGGAATATCATTGGGTGGTTACCCTTCATTCACGGTTATATTATATGTTCTACCAAATAATGTACGGTATCAACAACAATATGGTAAAAACACTCTATGGAACAACGTTTCAACAACGTGTTATCTTCATGGTCGGGTCATTGAATGCATGTTCTGTTCCTTCTCATACAGGACAGTACCACTCATCCTGTCTCTCTACAGGCATGCAGCGCCATCACCCCGGGCCGGACATGACCAACTTCTACCCCCTCTCCCCTGGAGGAGTGGGACAGATCACGCCCCCACTGGGATGGTACGTTTAGGATGACACACACACAACCACCCATTCAACAGGTGAAGATTGAGACAAACTATATACAGTACTGTACATGTGGATCCATTGAGAAGGATGATCCTACAGACAGACAGGCACACAGAGGGGAAATCCAGGCCCTGGACTCTCTCATTAGGGCTGTGAACCACACTGGTTCTCTCTGTGCCCAGCACATGTCAAACAGGCCAGTCCATCGGACCGCCCCATATGTGCTCTCGCATATTCATGTCTATTTAGCTGCTCAAAAGGCGCCCTGTGTCAGCGGCTCCCTCTGAGCTGCACTATGTTAGTAGCTCTCGTATGAGGCCTCACTCTGGATCTCTCTTTCCTTCTCATTTATCTTCCTCTCTCTCCCCCCTTTTCTGGTTGGTATGTGTCAGGACAGTGCTGGTATAGACAGGAGAGGCTTTGGACCCAGATGATTTCCTCAAACCTCCCCCCTCCTGTATTTTCGTTGAATATCTATTAACTCTTATTTCACCTAGTGTGAGTATGTTGGGGAGAGAGAGGACGAGGTTCTAAAGTTAATGCATGGGTTCTTGTTCCAGGTTCTCACACCACATGGTCCCGGGTCCCCCAGGCCCTCACGCCACAGGGATCCCCCACCCGGCCATCGTCAACCCCCAGGTCAAACACGAGCCCCAGCACGACAACGACCTGATGCACATGTGAGTCCCCCAAACAGTGGCCCTTTCTGGGTCCGCTTCACACAGGGCCAGCCGTGAGTAGAGTGTAGATCAAACAAACACTCACGCCTCCCTCTCCCCTGTTACACTGAAAACACACGTTCCTACCAAAACACACCTCACTATTCTACTCCTCCTCATGGTATTAGCAGCACATTCAGAGTTCAGGATACTTCCAGGTATTTGGTGACTCAACCACATGTCCCAACAACGCAGCAGTCCAACCTCCCCTCCCTCCTATCACCTTGATGTGAGTAGATAAGCAACAAGGGCCTCACAGAGCTGATAAGGGCCCCACCACGCATCATTTGGCCCCTGGCATCACAACATGCATACCAACAGACACACACACACACAGAGACGCACACAGACAGACGCACACACCACACACAGACACACATCAAGGTCCTGTGCCGCTGGGGCTACTAAGCGATTGGCAGTGTGTGTGCTGGGGGGGGGAAAGGTTTGGTTGCCATTACTGGTGAAGTAATCGCTCTCTCCGCTTGAAAGCGCCAAGACTGTATGACTGTACATGATTAAAGACTCCTGGCATCGCGGAAACCCCTTGCACGCACGCACCCTCGCTCCCAATTGGCTGAGGCGAAACAGACCCCTCGCCGTTTGTTCTCACACTCCAGGAGGCCCAGTTTCTCCATCGCAACCCTCTTTTCTTTTTTATCACCGCCGCTGTTCCCTCCTCCTTCTTTACCTCGCTCCCTTGTTCTTTTCTCGCCAATTGTTTTGCCAGGAAGCCTCAGCACCAGGACCAGAGGAAGGAGCAGGAGCCCAAGAGACCCCACATCAAGAAGCCGCTGAACGCCTTCATGCTGTACATGAAGGAGATGAGGGCCAACGTGGTGGCAGAGTGCACGCTCAAGGAGAGCGCCGCCATCAACCAGATCCTGGGACGGAGGGTACGTATGGTGAAGGGGAGAACCCATGTTTAGAGCACCCCCACCTGGGGTGGAGAACGGTTAACCACCCCCTTGTCTGAAACCTTTAGTGTGATGGTGATGGCCAGGGTAGTGTGCTAGGGGAATGGCCATAAGCCACCATTTTGGGTTCTTCTGTAAACCAAAACCACCTGACAGCATCTCTCGTTCAGCTAGAGGGCTTCCAGATCATAGAAATGGAATCCATAGAGCGGGTCTCCCCATGCAAATCATGGAGAGTGTAATGATGTGGTGTAATAATGTTATATGATGTACTGTTTTATCTTTTGTTTTATATGTAATGTAAGTGCCTTAATGTGTTTGGACCCCAGGAAGAGTAGCTGCTGCCTTGACAACAGCTAATGGGGATCCCTAATAAATACATATACAAATGATGGCATAATGGGTTGACTGGTTAGAGGTTCCAAGCCCTTTCTATGGATTCTCTTTCTATGTTTGAGATCTTCCTTCAACTCTTCTACATCAAGGTCCTTCAAGGGACTAATCATGATGACCATCTCTTTGTCCGAACCTGTTACTTTCCCTCATCAGGCGGATCCACTTTCTGCCTGACTGACTAGCGGACGTTTTAACCAAATTGACTTTTTATAAAAACTTGCCGTAGATAATAATAGTGTGGTTTGGAAATGACAATGTGTTCCTTTTTGAGAATTGGGGTAGAAGAAAGAAAGAAACTGAATGAGAAAGAGACCGCTAGAACATGTTTAAAACCTTAACACAAAGCCTTTTTGGTTGGGGCAGCCAGCCACAGCAAAGCTCCGTTTGCGGCCTTTGTTCAGTAATTGCCCGCTGACATAGTTTGAAGCAAAAGCGCCACTAAATTGGAACCAGTGTTTTGATATGAAATCAAAGTATTTTTTTTTTCTCTCTTTCCCATATGTTAATCTCTTCATCATGTTCGCCCTTTTTTATATTTTTTTTTTACCAAACGTTTGTACGTTTTATAAAGGAATAGTTTTTCTGCACCAAAACACTAGCACCCGTGTCTTTGGAGGGGACATGAAAGTGCATACCAGTAATTGACTGTGTGCTGTTGTACCTTTTTTTTTTTTCTCTCTCCTTGTTTTGTAACCTCCCTCCACGTACTGAAACAGTGGCATGCTTTATCCAGAGAAGAGCAAGCTAAGTATTACGAATTAGCCCGCAAGGAACGGCAGCTCCACATGCAGCTCTACCCAGGCTGGTCTGCCAGAGATAATTATGTAAGTATCATACGGAAACAGATTGGCAGCGGAGAGTGTGTGTGTGTGTGTGTGTGTGTGTGTGTGTGTGATTTGTCAACTGTGATTTTATTTTTCTGACCGGGGTTCAAATAATATTTGAAATTTTTCAATTACTTTTGAGTGTTTGTTTGAGTCTGCCTGACGTGCCAGATGAGCAGGGTTTGCACTTTTGGGGCTGTTCCATTGGTCACATTTAGCCAGTCAAGCTTGATCAGGCACCACTAAAATATTTCAAGTATTTCAAATATTATTTGTACCCAGGCCTGTTCAGTTTTGATGTAGGCTAATTGTTGTTTATGAATTTCAGGACAGTAGCTAGTATTCTTTGTTAGCTTTATTAACACAATGCTAGCTACAACATTCTAATAAACATTAGCCGTTTCCATGATAATGGTGTCCATTTTTAGCTGCTATGCTACAGCCTAATGTGTAATTCATAGCACTCTAATTCCATGCTATTATTACCAGCACAATGGATTGTAGTATGAGACTCCGTATTATACGACACTGAGAATAGTGGCCTGTGATGGTGCTGCCAGTCTTTGATGTTCCGTATCAACATGGAAGCCTTGGATATGTAAACAGAGTTGATGCCCCTGCCAGGAGCGTAGACACTTAGAGTGACGAGTAGATTGCTGTGTGATTTTCAGATGGCACAGCAACAAGGGGTGTGTGTGTGTGTGTGTGTCAGGGCACCTGTTATGTTAGTGTCCTGTTCATCTGTGTGTGTCTGTTCCGTGTGTGTGTGTGAGACCGTTCCGTGTATGTGACTGTATGCTAGCGCCTGCCGTTGTTAAAAAGTGTGGCTCCAGCACTCACTTTCACTCCACCACCACAGGGGCTCTTTGTAGTGGTCATCTGCCTCCTCTCTGGACAGCCCCGCACAGCACCTCTCACCTTCTGCCTCCGTCGCCCCGCCGCCACCACACCATGCTGGGGGAAACACTGCAGGACAGGACGGTATAGGGCAGGACAATCCAGTACAACACAGTACAGACTTTAGTCTCCTTCCATGTCAACTCCTAGCCCTTACCCTATTGGTGTTGACAGATCTGATAGGCTAAAGCAATAAGCCAGGAAGTAGAGGATGACCTCATGGTCTGATGGCCTCTACCACTGTATGTGTCTCATAGAGAGAAGCTTTGCTCGCACACATCCATTCCATCATAACACACACTTAACACCAAGCACCCCTCCAACATAAACTAAGCCCTTCATAGTACTGTACCACACACACTGTCATAACTACTGTACACATCACCTGCCCCCCTCCCCCTCCCTCCCTCTCTCCTCTCTCTGTCTGCCACAGCGGTGTGAGAGGAACCCAGATTAGCTCATCATAAATAAGTGGATTAGTAGACTTTGCAGCAGGAAACCAAAGTGCTGCTCATATTTGACTAGAATGACTGTTACGCCACTATCTCTACCTATAGTCCCCCTCCCTAGGGGATTTGGCTATAAGCTATAAATCCATACACACTTACTCACAGTGGAGCTCAGTGATCAGTGCTCACTGGAGGGGGGTTGACTGACGCTCTCCATGGTAATCAGTCGAGGACCAGCTCTCCCAAGTAATATTTAGCATTTTTTATGTTTTAATTACATATTGATGTTTGGTACTAGGAGACTGAAAAAGACTACATACGCTGCTGTTGCTTCTACACTTGAAGTCTTTATATAAGTATGGTGATGGATGTTGTTTTGTTCATGATAGGTTGTTAGAGAACACACACTGATACAGGTGAGGAGAGGACAGCCAAGTTTGCTACCTGCTCCGATTGGAAGGCAAGGATGGGGTTCAAAACCTAACATTCTGGAATGGATCCTACCAAACATGTCTATGTTAATAGTTTGTTAGAGAGCACACTATACTGAAGCCAGGTGCGGAGAGGACAGAGACAGCCAGCTCTCATAGGCAGGGAGTAAAGACGGTCAGCCCCTCTGACCAATCCCAGCGTGGTGATTGGCTGCAGGCCCAGAGAGCGAGGGGTGCTGGTTGGCTGCCCGGCGGGGGATGAGTGAACAGGGCAAACGGCAGCAGGACTAAGCGTGGTGGAGGGAGGGTGAGTGCTGGAGCCACACTTTAAGCGTTCACCTCGATATTTTCTAGGGAAAGAAGAAGAAGCGGAAGAGGGAGAAGATCCAGGAACCGGCTGCAGGTAACCAACCCCTTCCCCTTTCCCTTCCTCTCTTTCCCCTCTTTCTCTCCCCCTCTCTCTCCCCCTCTCTTTTCCTCTCGATTTGTTGTTCTGTGAGATGATGAGTGTTCAGTTTGTCCTTTACAAACTCTCCATGCGGTCTCTCTTGTGTCCGTCTCTCACACTAGCCTAAGTCATTTTAACACAAACATGCACCACAAGCAATAAAAGGTCTTGTCACTCTGAAACAGGCCCCTGTAATGCTGACATAATCAGAACCAGGTGTTGTGCCATGCTTGTCACACAGTATTGGGAAAGCTATAGCCGCATTTCCCTAGAAATAACCAATCAAGAGGCCCCACTTTGACCATGTGGCTAGTTTCACCTGGATTATGCATGAAACGTTTCAGCCCCGTCCACCCATAACCACCCTTCCCCCTCCTCCCTCTCCAGACCCCCATAGAACTCCATTCGACCCCTCCGCCCTCACTAGAGTGGGCTTTCAGAACCACCATGCAGGTACCAGTGTCACTCAACCTGCACCTCTCCTTTGTACTCCATCCCTCTCTCCTTTCTCCATCCCTCTCTCTCACCCCCCCCCCCCCCTTCCCTCTCCACTCCACCTACTTTGGGATTAGTCTGTAAATGCTGGTTGACTTAACTGCTCTCTGTGCTTTGCACTTTATTGGTCTAGCTGCTGTATGTCACTACCACCGTGCTCTTAGCTTAAAGCTCTGTGTAAACACTGCACCGTTGTGTAGGAACCTATAGGGGGGGAAATATATATTTAGAAATCATGTAGACCACGTGCTATATTACCATTTAGATGCCTATTATCAATTTGCTTCTACATCTGCATTGCTTGCTGTTTGGGGTTTTAGGCTGGGTTTCTGTATAAGCATTTGGTGACATCTGCTGATGTAAAAAGGGCTTTATAAATACATTTGATTGAATTTCTGCTTTAGTTTGTGGTGAGGCGTTCCATTAGCCCAGTTGGCTCTCTTTTCCTCAGCTGGACATGCCTTATGTAAAGACAAACATGTTAAAAGATGCCATTTTCTGCAGGTACAGGCCAGAGAATGAAAACGGCGTACATCTGAGCATAAATGGTAAGACAACCCCCCCCCCCCCCCCCCCACCTCCTCTCCAGTCATGCCTGTCTGGTCTGGTAGTATGTATCAAGCCTTGTATACTGTTCACAGACTAATCCTAAAGGGTCCACCCTAAACTCACCATGGTCATTGTGTCAATCAGTGGAGGCTGCTGAGGGGAGGACGGCTCATAATAATGGCTGGAACGGAGTGAATGGAATGGCTTCAAACCATATGTTTGATGTATTCGATACCATTCCGCTCCAGCCGTTACCACCAGCCCGTCCTCCCTAATTAAGGTGCCACCAACCTCCTGTGGTGTCAATGGTGTTAAGTCTCAAGGAGTGAGATGTGTGTGATTGTGTTCTGGGTGTATATTGACCTGGGCACTCCAATGGCAGTCTTTTGTCTGGTTAGTGAGATGATCATCTGAATCCACTGTGTGAATGTTGCAGTGCATGGCTGAGAAATTGTTGTTGAGTCCTTTCTTAAATTCAAACTGATGCCCTTTATTAGATGTAACTCAAACACGAAAATGGACAAAGTGCTCTGCATTATCTAAAACGTAAAAAACACAGCTTTTTTTTCCTAGTCTGACGTCTTCATAGCAGCAGATATTCCTGGAGGAGTGGGAGGTTCCGTCCCAAATGGCACCCTATTCCCTACATAGTGCACTACTTTTAACCATACCCCTATGGGCACTGGTCAAAAGTAGTGCACTATATGGAATAGGCTTCCATTTGGGACGCATGCAGCCTAGGCCCAGATGGTCTGCATGTTTTCTGTTCTACCAACACTGAATGGAGACTAGACCTTCCAGACTACATCTGGGATCAGAAGGCTATGAAACACCACGCTCCACTAGAACACTGTCAAATCACATAGTTTGATAGAGATTTGTTGGCGGTTTGGTGTGAAGTGTGGATGGTCCTGCTGTGCTGTACGAGCACTATAACACACAAAGCACGACGTAATCAGTCAAATGTTCTGGGGTTTATTTGGTTGGGGTTGTTCTTTGTGAAAAGGTAAGTTGTGACAAGCGACAGTAACAGACAAACATGTAGGGCTCTTGTACCAAAGTGTCACCAAGTTTTGAAAGGGGTGAAATGAGTGCATGCACTCCATTAGATCTTTCTACCATTAGATATCTCTCTCTCGGTCTGAGGTTAGTCTTATAGCATCCTGCTGTGCACATTTTTATAGCATCCTCTCTCTCTCAATTCAATTTAAGGGCTTTATTGGCATGGGAAATGTATGTTAACATTGCCAAAGCAAGTGAAGTAGATAGTAAACAAAAGTGAAATAAACAATAAATATTTACAGTAAACATTACACTCAGAAGTTCCAAAAGAAGAAAGACATTTCAAATTTCATAGTATGTATACAGTGAGGGGAAAAAAGTATTTGATCCCCTGCTGATTTTGTACGTTTGCCCACTGACAAAGACATGATCAGTCTATACTTTTAATGGTAGGTTTATTTGAACAGTGAGAGACAGAAAAACGCATGTCAAAAATGTTATAAATTGATTTGCATTTTAATGAGGGAAATAAGTATTTGACCCCTCTGCAAAACATGACTTAGTACTTGGTGGCAAAACCCTTGTTGGCAATCACAGAGGTCAGACGTTTCTTGTAGTTGGCCACCAGGTTTGCACACATCTCAGGAGGGATTTTGTTCCACTCCTCTTTGCAGATCTTCTCCAAGTCATTAAGGTTTTGAGGCTGACATTTGGCAACTCGAACCTTCAGCTCCCTCCACAGATTTTCTATGGGCTTAAGGTCTGGAGACTGGCTAGGCCACTCCAGGACCTTAATGTGCTTCTTCTTGAGCCACTCCTTTGTTGCCTTGGCCGTGTGTTTTGGGTCATTGTCATGCTGGAAGACCCATTTTCAATGCCCTGGCTGAGGGAAGGAGGTTCTCACCCAAGATTTGACGGTACATGGCACCGTCCATCATCCCTTTGATGCGGTGAAGTTGTCCTGTCCCGTTAGCAGAAAAACACCCTCAAAGCATAATGTTTCCACCTCCATGTTTGACGGTGGGGATGGTGTTCTTGGGGTCATAGGCAGCATTCCTCCTCCTCCAAACATGGCGAGTTGAGTTGATGCCAAAGAGCTCAATTTTGGTCTCATCTGACCACAACACTTTCACCCAGTTCTCCTCTGAATCATTCAGATGTTCATTGGCAAACTTCAGACGGCCCTGTATATGTGCTTTCTTGAGCAGGGGGACCTTGCGGGCGCTGCAGGATTTCAGTCCTTCACGGCGTAGTGTGTTACCAATTGTTTTCTTGGTGACTATGGTCCCAGCTGCCTTGAGATCATTGACAAGATCCTCCCGTGTAGTTCTGGGCTGATTCCTCACCGTTCTCATGATCATTGCAACTCCACGAGGTGAGATTTTGCATGGAGCCCCAGCCCGAGGGAGATTGACAGTTATTTTGTGTTTCTTCCATTTGCGAATAATCGCACCAACTGTTGTCACCTTCTCACCAAGCTGCTTGGCGATGGTCTTGTAGCCCATTCCAGCCTTGTGTAGGTCTACAATCTTGTCCCTGACATCCTTGGAGAGCTCTTTGATCTTGGCCATGGTGGAGAGTTTGGAATCTGATTGATTGATTGCTTCTGTGGACAGGTGTCTTTTATACAGGTAACAAGCTGAGATTAGGAGCACTCCCTTTAAGAGTGTGCTCCTAATCTCAGCTCGTTACCTGTATAAAAGACACATGGGAGCCAGAAATCTTTCTGATTGAGAGGGGGTCAAATACTTATTTCCCTCATTAAAATGCAAATCAATTTATAACATTTTTTACATGTGTTTTTCTGGATTTTTTTGTTGTTATTCTGTCTCTCACTGTTCAATTAAACCTACCATTAAAATTATGGACTGATCATTTCTTTGTCAGTGGGCAAACGTACAAAATCAGCAGGGGTTCAAATACTTTTTTCCCTCACTGTATATAAATATATACACAGTGTTGTAACAACAATGTGCAAATAGTAGTTAAAGTCTCTCGCTCTCTGGCAAATCTTATAACGAAATCAAACCCTGAACCAGACAAAGATTTTCCGCTTGATTGATTCTTGACCGGTGGCTCCCCCTGTGAACCTAAATTGGACCACTTTTCTCTTATTCGTCGCCCGCACTTCGCCACTGCCTCTTTTCAAAGGCGGAGAGACTTATCTGTGATCCAATAATTAGCTGGGTCTATCCGAGGCAGGATGGACACCACGACTGATTCATTGTGACAACCTTAAACTCATATGCATAATACCAGAGAGGACTGCCACGACTCCTCATTTTATGTAGATCCCAAAGAGCCTGGATTGAGGTTTGCTTTTGGCATGGCAGACGTCAGGCAGCAAACATCTTTAAATGAACTTATTTGTCTTTCTTTTGATATCCACCCCCCCCCCCCCCCCCAACCCCGAGAAATCAGACCTGGGTTTTGTAATGGAGTGCGTCTGTCCATTCACTCTTTATTTGTGTTGATATTGTTTGCACATTAATTTTCAGGGCGTGATTAATCAGAATACCCTTTTTAAAGGAGAGTAGGGTAAGGATCAATAAAACGTCCTTGTTTTCTCTTCTGGCATATCGGTGGTGTACTGATTTTAAATGTCTGGCTGAAAAGGCCACGCCAAAGAGTGCAGCAGTTCAACAGTGGTTAATTTCTTGGAGTGGATTGTTTATCCCCAGTGGGTCAGACACCAGACCCAGCACACTGCTGGTTCTCTTACCTTGCAGTTAAATAGCTCTCTGGGAATCTAGCTATTATTTTTGACATTGTGAAATTAGTGTTTCCTCCTTCTTGCTCTCTGACGCTTTCTCTCTCGCTCTTCCTCTCTCGCTGACACTCATTTGTTCTGTCTGACACTCATAACTTTTCACTCTGACTCATTCTCTCCCTCCCTCTGTTAGTGTCATTGTCTGACTAAGCCGGTCTGTTTCACAGGCCTTTGAGATGTGTATCTGGTCGGGACATGTCCTTAAGGCTATCTACATTTGTCCCAAAGGGAGGGAGACGACCAATAATATAGGTGGCCTTTTAATCCGACGAACAGCGTGGGCCAGGAGTCACAAACACTCATAAAAACTCCCCAGCGTTGGAACTGACTGAGTCATCTCAGTCCAACTCTTATGAACGTGCTCTTTTCTTGCCACCCGGTAACCGGAAACTTCTGTGAGAGCAAACTTGAAATTCCCCTGTTTTTTTTTTTTTTGTGCGAGGTAGTTCATCTTTAGGGGGGAGGGGGGGGCTGTTTTGAATGTATTTTTTTAAACTGCCCTAAAAAAAGGTGAGTTTGTGGTAGAGGCCAAAAATTGTGTGTTTGTGTAGGTAGCTGGTGAACTAGTGCAGTGCGGAGCGTTGAGGTGAAGGCATTCTGAGAACATACCCAGGATCCACACACGGCATGAAAGAAAGTGCTGTTCTAGCAGGAGCTGTAGTGGTCTCGCTCTTCTCTTTCTCCCAACTGTCGTTCCTCTCTCTCAAGCAGCCAGCCGCACTCTCCGGCTGCAATTAGGCAAGGTTCAGAGTCTTGCCTCCATTTCCAGAGCCGGTTGGATTTGGTGGAGGACATACACCCCCCCACCACCACAGCGTTATTAGTGACCTGGGATAATTGGAATGGTTTCGGGGGCTGTGAAACACTCAGGGTCTTGCTCTGAGTGTCTCAGCTCAGCAGAGGAGAGGAGAGGGAGCTCCTGTCTCCTCTTTTTAAAACTACACTTCACAAAGAAGAAGAAAAGAGTGGCCTTAGCATAAATCAGGGCGACAGCCACCGGCTAATGTTACTGTGGGTTAGGAAATAGAAACGGAAACGTCTGCTCCCCTCTCTCTCAATCTCTCTCACACACACAGCAGAGCTCTGTGAAGGAGAAATAGACAACCTCAGCACTTCTGTCCTTCCAGGGGTGTAGTAGCAGTAGTGGAATGTCAAACGCTCAACTATGCAGGTGTCTAACACACCGTTTTAGTCAACTCCTGGACTTGATCTCTTGCCTCTCCTCCTTCAGAGAAAAGGGGTCTCTTTGATACTTCTTGGGGGGCTCTAGTTTATATGTGTGAGACTGAGATGTGCAACCCCAATGACACCCTATTCCCTATACAGTGCACTACTTTTGAACAGAGCCCCATGGGCCCTGGCTAAAAGTAGTGCACTATAAAGGGAATAGGGTGTCATTTGGGACTCTGAGAATCACCTATAGCGGGGCTTTCTGTTTAGACTGGGTCTGTGGGTTTGTTTTGGTTGAGTAACTGGCCTATTGTGCCGAGGTCTGGCCAGCTGCAGGGAGCGACCGTATGAGGGTAGAGCCTCTCCCTCCCTGCCAGGTTTTATCATGTCTTCTCTACTTCCTCTCCTTCTCCTTCCCTCCCCCCTTCTCTGTCTCTCCCCGGTGGCTCCTTGAGACGCTGCAGATTGAGGGGGTGGTGGGGGTGTGCTGCCTTGTAAAACGTCCCCCCTTCTGAGTCGTTATCTCTGGATCATGAAAGGCCCCCAGGTAACAGAGGGGAGAGACAGGAAGGGGAGAGAGGTCGCAGGAAGATATAATTTTTCTCTTTATTTTTTTATAAACGTGAAACTCTGTTTTGAGATGTGGCTGCTGAACAAAATGTGGCTCCTATTGTAGATGTAGGTGGAACCCCCTTCTCTCCCTCTTTTTTTTCCTCCTACTCTCTCTCGCTTTCTCCCCCTGCCCCTCCCTCCCTCCCTCCCATCCGATGGTGAGTGTGAGTGGCGGTGGAGCTCCTTTGAAGTATGCCGCAGCACAGGGAACAGTCATTGTGCGGGCCCTTTGATAGTGCCGCCCTGGCCTCCAGCCCCCAGCTCCAGCTTTGTAGCTGTGCAGTACTGCGGGGGCACACCACACACTACACCACGCCGCGCTTGGCCAGACTTCAGCGGCTCGGGCCCCCAGCGACGGAGCATCAGATGTGGGTAGAGGGATAAGGAGAGGGGGCTCCTACCGCCAGACCCCCAACTCCACCCCTTACCCCAGTCTCACCAGCACATGCCTGAGGTTTGGGCTTTTGGTGGCTCGGGGGGGGGGAGCCTTACCTCCTACCATTCCTCTCCCCACAACCAAAACCCTTCCCCTCTCCCTTCCTCTAGCCTTGCATAGACATAAACCTCCTTTATCCACTTCCCTTCATCTTCATTTCTCGTTTCTTCTCATCCCCCTCGTTCTGTTTTAACTGAATTCCCCCAAACATCCCCCTGTTAGCAATGATACCATTGTCAGTGTTCCCAGCCCAGACAGAACAACAATGACGTTTCTCCCACACAACCACCCTGACTTTTGGTTGGAGGTTAGAAATTACAGATGTAACTATTCTAGGTTTTCCTTTTAATGTTCTGTCTCCCGGCCAGAGAAAGTGCTGGAAGGATGAAGCCGTTTGTTTAAAACATCACATTTTCTTCTTTGGTTTTACCTCTTCCTCCTCAAGCTGAGGGTTGCCGGTTGTGGCAGTGTCACAATTCTATAGAGAGAGTGAGACTGCCTGACCCGAGAGGGCATCGCCAAACAAAACCATAGTTAAACTCTTCACAGCAAGGTGAATATCTCACCAATACGGAGCAATAGTCAGTGCAAAGGTTGGCTATCTCTGTTTTTTTCCATCGACTGACTTTGTTTCCTGAACTTAATGCGTTGTCTCCATCACTGGTTGGATTTGAATAGCTGCAATTTTCCTTTTCTTTCCAGCCAGCCAATGCTGTTAACTTGATTCTGACCATTTAGATAATTTGGCAGAGAAATATCAGGTTCATTTTCAGCTTTTATGCCATCTTGGAAAACATTTCAGTCTAGATGTACAAATTCCCGTGTTTCCAGTGATTTGGAGTTGATCTCTGAACCCACTAAACCCATATTTCATAAAATAAGAACATTGTCTGTCTAGGTTTCTGACTTTGTGGTCGAGACAGACATGGCAACTGAGTCAGCTGATTTGGCATTTCCTCCTCTCCTCTCTCTCCCAGAACTCTTTCTTTCTCTTTTTCCTCTCCTCCTCCAGACCCCCACTCTCCCTCTCCCTCTGCCATTGTAAAGTCTACACTCCTGCCTGGGTTGGAGACCCCTCGCTCCAGTTGGCTTATTTTTAGTAATTTGTCGGCCGTGTTTTCCTTTTTAATGGCACCAAAATAAACCCCAGAGTTCCGCTGCAGTGCAGGGAAGGAGGGAGGACAGGAGGAGGGGAAGGAGGAAGAAGTAGTGTAAGGCAGGCGGGACGGGCCCAGCTGCGGGCTCTTTGATTTGCCCCGGGAAGTTGGAGGCGGCGATTGTGAGACGCGGGGCCGTGCCAGTTATCTTAACCTCCCACGCTTCAAAGACCCAGAGCCTGGGCGCCGTTGGTCTCAGTCGCTCCCCCCACCTCCCATCCCCTCCCTGGGCCAAGGAGAGAGAGAGCCAGAGCCAGGACCCGGCCTCCACTGGAACAGAGGAGCGTTTCATTTCCTGCAAAGAAGTCCAGCCGGCATTCCTGAGTGCTAACTGGGGGGAGAGGATGTGGGTAGAGGGGGAGGGGGCAGGGAAGGGGTCAAGTTGCTCCTGAATCCCGCGTTTGTGTGTTGGTGTCGGGTGGGTCTGCTATGAAGACCTGGCCTGATGCCCCCTCCTGACCCACCACCACCCACCCCCCCCCCCCCAAGCCCCTCAGGCTTTTTCCCAAGACCGGAAAGACCAGGCCAGGGCTTTTCATCTTGTGGCCGGGAGGGAAGGAAAAAGCTCCCCAGGAAGAGAAGAGGGTGCTGGGGCTGAGGGCTGAGGGCTGGGCTCTCAGATCCTGGGATAAAAAGGGGGCAGTGGAGGTAAATGAACAGCGACAGAGGCTCTGTCTCTCTCTCTGCGGCCCTCCTCTCCTTGGTGCGGGAGGCTCAGGGTCAGCCGTCCCTGGAAAAGGCGTCCTCCGTCCCTTTCATCCACGTGTGGTAAAGCAATCTGGGGGGGGGGAAGAGCGTGAGTGTGTGTGGTACCAGGGTGGAGTTGCAGGGCTCAGCTGACTTCTCTACCCACAAACACACTTCTCTGACCTCACCACAAGGGAGCAGTCCTTCCACTAATACATTTTCTATCTTTCTCTCCTCACATCTTTCACTCACTACCCGGTCGGATAGCTACCTCTGAATCTCTTCCCCCTCTCTGACTTTGATCACTGATTCCATTTGATGCTCAAAAATAACCAACACCGCCTGTCCGTCAATAACTGAAGCTAACTCTGTTAGCTACGTTCGCCACAGAACAGTATTTTGAGCAAAACCGCTTTTGTGGTTTGACAAACAATTTCCCTTGCATGGACGGGTGGATGGTGGCCGGCGGGGCTTTTTAGAAGGCCCTGTGAAGTGGACTCGAGCAGGCTGAGAAGACTCTCTCTACCTCTCCACTGCCCACACACAGCGGTGGCAGCATAAATGTCAACAAAAAGCTATAGCCTAACTAGATGGCTGGTTGCGTTCAGAGAGAGAGGGGTAGCAGTAGGTAGACGATATCAGGGTGTGAGTCAGAGAGGGGGGCAGAGCAGATTGAGCCAGCTGGGTCACAGTGACCTGATGTCAGAGAGAGATCAAAGCTAAAGCCAACCCACATCCTGTCACTAACCTTTTGACCTACTGTTCAGTCGGCAACGCCATTACTGCTCTCTGAAGACGGCAGAACTGTAGGGCTCCTTCACTCCTCCAGTGTTTGTACAGGAGGCAGAGCTAGCATTGTGAGGTTACATACATCAGAGGACGCAGCACTCAGTCACTGTATGTGGGATGTGTGAGACTGTCTGATTTCAGATGACGTTGACAGCAATGTGTTGTGGTTTCATGTTTGAGCTCCTTTTTAGTTAGTGAGGGATTTTTGAACGGGTTTATGAGTTCATTGCATCTCTCTGTTTCTGACTTGTATGAAAAAGACAGTCAGCACTCGCAAATGACGTATAACAGCAGTCACTATGGACACGTTGAGGCCCTCTGTTTTTGCCCATTGAACTGACAATGTTTCTCTCTCTGTCCTTCAGGAGGAAAACTGAACACTTTCTCCACGTCATGCAAAGCGAAGGCAGCAGCTATGGGCCTCCTGCTAGAGATGGAGGCCTGCTAGATTCCATGAACCCTCCCCCTTATCCCCAACCCCCAAGCCTCAACTCCCGTTCTCAGAGGAATACCACCCCCCCGAACTTAACTTTACACTCCTCTCCTGCAGTGACTCTCCTATCTGATGTAGAGACTCTGAACTGAACAAGACAATCACTACTAAAGACCATCAACCAACCGCATTCAAACACCCCAGCCCCCTCACTCCCCAGTCCCTCACTCCTCACATCGAACAAAAAGATGAATCCAATGTATCGTGTTTTTTGGTTTTGTTTTCTTACAAGCAGCTTTATCTCAATCCAAGGCACTGCACTGAAAACAGTTCAGCGATTTCACATTGTCAAACACACTTAACACCTCCCCACACATACCCCAACACACAAAACACCAGTTTCTAAGTTATTTCTAAGTTATTTGCCACCTCCGTTCCTTTCCTTTGTACAGCCCACTATGTTCGACCCTCAACACTCCCCTCTCCTCTCTCTCACTGGATTTCAGACCACATGTTTGGGTTGCGGCCTGACCCACACCACCTTTTAGACTGACTGCACTATCACAAGGAAGATGGAGGGATGTCAATCACAGGTTGTCAAGGAAACATCCTCTCAAGGCTCCTATCCTCCATTTTGTTTTTATTAACGACCAGTTGGTGCAAAAAAGATCAACGTTTTATGATTATAGCTTTTACTTTTGAGTTGGAATTAATGGAATGCTTTTTTGTATTTTGAACTTGGTTTAAATTTCTTGGTGTATATTTTCAGTGATTGTTTATTTTATTTTTATTTTTTTATATATATATATACTGGTATATATGAAAATAAGCTTTGAACACAGGAAAGCCATTTTTTTTCTTGTTAGAGTCTTGCAGAAAAATGAAAATTAAGGCTTCTTTTGATACTATTTGTAACAAATAGTGACCTTGACTCGAGTCTTGCTCAGATGTAAAATAAAGCTCAGTATGTGTACTTTTTAAAGAAACTGTCAGGATATGTCACTTTTCTTGGTATTTTTGCAGGCAACGTTAGGACAAAGGCAAGTGGTTGCTCAGAGGCCTATATTTTATTGTTCTAAACTGACATATGAAGCAGATATATATTTACCCCAGCACTTGGCAGTGTTTTTCTTTTATTGCTATCAGGGTTGGGGTCAATTCAGAAAGTAAACCAAATTCCAATTGCAATTTGACATTTTCCTCATTGGAAAGCATTGAAGAGAAGTTGGAGAATTTCAGTGTACTTCCTGAATTGACCCCAAGCCTGATTACGATGGACTTTTGTCTCTTCTCTATCTGGTAGCTAATAGTGTGGTCTTTTTGCCCATGTTGTTTATTCCATGCAAGCATTTCTGTAACATTTGATTGATTTTATGCTCTATTTTTAGTATTACTTGATTCATTTTTTATTCATTGTCGTATTTTGAATCACTGTCATCTTGGTATAAGCACTTTGCTTCCCAAGTGGTCACATTAACAGTTTCAACATGTTTTGTTTTTTTAAAGAAAAATAAAAAGGCATTGGCTCATTTGATCTCCCGACCGGAGTTATGTGATAGAAGGTATACCTTACTGACAGAGCTGGTTTCCTGGACAGAGATTAAGCCTAGTCTTGGGCTAAACACTTATTTGAATGGGGATTCTTCATTGAGCATTGTTTTTAGTCTAGGGCTAAATCTCTGTCCAGGAAACCAGCCCAATAATCTTGTAGTGTGTGATCATTAGTAGGCCTATCATATGGTTCATATCCAGAAATTCAGCATTTGTCAACACTGCCACTTAGTGGTCTTACATAGAACTACCAAGCAGAATTATTGACTATAACTCACATTCAAATCTTGAGGGGAAACTTCAAAAGGCTCTAAAACCGACCAATTAAAACTCCAGCAGCATACTGACTGAGGCTACGTTCATACAGTATTATGGCTATGCTAACGAAAGGGGAAATCCACATCTTGAGTATTGAAGCTGCTTGTAAAATAAATCCATGGAAAAAGGTGAGACGTGATGTCTCATCCTCCAAGATGATCAATTTAATGTCGGGATATAAAGAGGGTAATGTTTAATTTTTTTCTAATTGAATAGTAGGGATAACATCAAAGGAACTCTTGAAACAATATTGGAAATTAACAGTGGGGTTGAACAGGCAGGGGTTAAAACTGCCCGTATGCATCACTGGGTATCATTAACATTAATGGCAGTGTGTGTTGGCTGAAAGGTCCAGAGGCAAATACACTGCTCAAAAAAATAAAGGGAACACTAAAATAACACATCCTAGATCTGAATGAATGAAATAATCTTATTAAATATTTTTTTCTTTACATAGTTGAATGTGCTGACAACAAAATCACACAAAAATTATCAATGGAAATCAAATGTATCAACCCATGGAGGTCTGGATTTGGAGTCACCCTCAAAATTAAAGTGGAAAACCACACTACAGGCTGATCCAACTTTGATGTAATGTCCTTAAAACAAGTCAAAATGAGGCTCAGTAGTGTGTGTGGCCTCCACGTGCCTGTATGACCTACCTACAACGCCTGGGCATGCTCCTGATGAGGTGGCGGATGGTCTCCTGAGGGATCTCCTCCCAGACCTGGACTAAAGCATCCGCCAACTCCTGGACAGTCTGTGGTGCAACGTGGCGTTGGTGGATGGAGCGAGACATGATGTCCCAGATGTGCTCAATTGGATTCAGGTCTGGGGAACGGGCGGGCCAGTCCATAGCATCAATGCCTTCCTCTTGCAGGAACTGCTGACACACTCCAGCCACATGAGGTCTAGCATTGTCTTGCATTAGGAGGAACCCAGGGCCAACCTCACCAGCATATGGTCTCACAAGGGGTCTGAGGATCTCATCTCGGTACCTAATGGCAGTCAGGCTACCTCTGGCGAGCACATGGAGGGCTGTGCGGCCCCCCAAAGAAATGCCACCCCACACCATGACTGACCCACCGCCAAACCGGTCATGCTGGAGGATGTTGCAGGCAGCAGAACGTTCTCCACGGTGTCTCCAGACTCTGTCACGTGCTCAGTGTGAACCTGCTTTCATCTGTGAAGAGCACAGGGCGCCAGTGGCGAATTTGCCAATCTTGGTGTTCTCTGGCAAATGCCAAACATCCTGCACGGTGTTGGGCTGTAAGCACAACCCCCACCTGTGGATGTCGGGCCCTCATACCACCCTCATGGAGTCTGTTTCTGACCGTTTGAGCAGACACATGCACATTTGTGGCCTGCTGGAGGTCATTTTGCAGGGCTCTGGCAGTGCTCCTCCTGCTCCTCCTTGCACAAAGGCGGAGGTAGCAGTCCTGCTGCTGGGTTGTTGCCCTCCTACGGCCTCCTCCACGTCTCCTGATGTACTGGCCTGTCTCCTGGTAGCGCCTCCATGCTCTGGACACTACGCTGACAGACACAGCAAACCTTCTTGCCACAGCTCGCATTGATGTGCCATCCTGGATGAGCTGCACTACCTGAGCCACTTGTGTGGGTTGTAGACTCCGACTCATGCTACCACTAGAGTGAAAGCACCGCCAGCATTCAAAAGTGACCAAAACATCAGCCAGGAAGCATAGGAACTGAGAAGTGGTCTGTGGTCACCACCTGCAAAACCAGTCCTTTATTGGGGGGTGTCTTGCTAATTGCCTATAATTTCCACCTGTTGTCTATTCCATTTGCACAACAGCATGTGAAATTTGTCAATCAGTGTTGCTTCCTAAGTGGACAGTTTGATTTCACAGAAGTGTGATTGACTTGGAGTTACATTGTGTTGTTTAAGTGTTCCCTTTATTTTTTTGACCAGTGTTTATACACCAGTATGTTACATAGTTGAAGGTTGCCTTGGAGTTCATCCTTCCCTGGGAAACCGTATGAATAGAACAATCTATGGGAAGCATTTGGAAAAGTCTGTTTAATGCCACAAACTACTTACAAACCACCACATGTAAAGATGACATTCAGAATATACAGTCAAAGACAGTGGATTTGAATTCATAATACCAGTCTACCATTCTTCAGGAAGGCACTGAGGTTTGTACCAGCTGCATTTCTGTTCTAGCGTTGTCAAGATGAACCAGCGTTTTCTCTATCACTCATGCCCTTATCAGTAATGGGAGGGACTACATGATCTTGTCCAATAGGAAGTGCTCATTTCATTTCCCGTTGCAAAACATTTTGTCACGGTGTGCCTTAATGAACAGGCTCCAGCTAGTGTTGATGCTGGGGCGGGGTTACTTGTACTTGTAGAAGCCCTCTCCGGTCTTCTTGCCGAACTTGCCATCAGCCACCAGCTTGTTCAGCATCTCACTGGGCTGCATCAGAGGGTTGTCGGGATCCTTCTCAACCCAGCCTGGAATCAAGTAATCATCACAAAAACATTTCATTTGAATTTTTGCAGGTTTCACACTTCCTGCATCTGCTTCATTTTGTTTGTTCAAATATTTATCACAATTTTCAAAGACCACCGGCAACTCTCGTCCATCTCAACATTCTATAACCAAAACAGTGCTCCTCCTCTGTGCCATATGAACTGCAGTTCTTTCTATTGGCCCTATCCCTAGCTGCTAATATAGTCCTCTTAACTGGGATTGTAGTCTGTAATAGGAACACACTTGTGAAGCAGCCCAACACTCACCGTCAATTATGAATTTAGCTGTGTCCAGTCCTACGTAGTCCAGCAGCTCAAAGGGCCCCATGGGATACCCAGCGCCCAGCTTCATGGCAATATCAATGTCCTCCTTTGACCCGTGGCCTGACGAGAAGAGCACACAAACTCAGCCATTGATTTTGAATGAAGGGTGACATAATGGTTTCATATACAGAGCACTATGTTTTTTTTAACCATAGATGTTCATACACAACCATTTGTCACATCCCTCTTGGCTCTGATGCTATTTTGATTCATATACAGGCAATCAGTTTGAATATATCTTTCAGTCATGCAGGGGTGGTGTACCTCTCTCATGTAACCTGATGGCTTCCATCATGTAGGGCACCAGCAGGCGGTTCACAATGAACCCAGGAGTGTCCTGAAGATGAACAGAACGTAGTGATGTTAGTGAACCGTTTATAACTGCAGATGATGAACATAATGTATGGTGCAATATGGTATGTGACTGTATTATCTTTAAGGTTGTACCATACTAGCGAAATACTTTATATGTATTAAAAGAAGCGAGGATCTTACTTTGCAGGACACTGGTGTCTTTCCCAGTGCTTTGCTGAAGGCGAGGAGGGAATCGAAGGTCTCCTGGCTTGTGGCTGATGTTCCAATCACCTGAAGAGGACATGTAAACAACTCAACAGCTTTCAATTGAATCTTGCTGATACATATGTTTCTAATTTAAACATCTCCATCATGACATAGAGGGAGACTATATAGAGACTTATGATAGGGAGGGATGTCCTAAAATGTACACCGTACTGTTGATCCTTACCTCTACCAGCTTCATCATGGGGACGGGGTTGAAGAAGTGCAGCCCTCCAAATCTATCCAGCCTGCTGGTGGAGCTGGCTATGTCGGTGATGGGCAGAGAGGACGTGTTGCTGGCGAAAATGGTGTGTCTTAGAGGAACCAAACACATCAGGCAATAAGCAGCAAGCAACTCCCATGAGGTACACCCCAATTAGTAACATCAATTAGTGGGCTACACAACGCCTTTCCCTTTGAAATATTTTATTTTAATTAGAATAGTCTTAAAATAGTGTATTTTAAGCACATTTCAAGGATACCAGCATAGCTTTATAGTAAGTATAGAAAAAAAGCTCAAATGCAGATAAAGGAATTTTGATATTTAGGCTAAATATTCAAAATGGCAACCCAGAATTTACATAAACAAAAAATAATGGAGATTTCAAGTCGCAGGCAGTGGAGACAGAACAGTGCTTATGTAGTCTAGCAGGGATGGTTTGGATTCACGCTCGCTTGGTGAGTAACCTTGAGACCAAAGACGTGGGTTGGACCCACAAGCTAATGCCTAGGATTTAGCTCAGTGGGATAAGACAGTCTTGTGGCGTGTAGGAGACACAGGTTCAAGCCCTAGTCGGTCATACTTACGCTGGTGCCACTTTGTCCAGAGCACCAAAGAGGCCCTGTTTGATCTTGAGGTTCTCCACGATGGCCTCCAGCACCAAGTCTGTACTCCCCACCACAGACACCGCGTCTGTCGATATCGACACGTTGGCCATCACCTTCGCGATAAACTCTGCTCCTGCCTGAAACGTACATGATGACGGTCAAACCCCTGTTTGAATCAATGGTGTTATTAAAATGTGGTTCTTCCAACATTTCCTCATTGGAAACAGCAACATTAACATATTAGTGACCAACTTCTGGCTTGTCAGCAAACTTCTTCTTGACCACCCTCTTCAGGCTGCCCTCTATTCCCTTGGCGGATTTATTCAGGATTTCCTCATTTGTGTCAACTAGTACCACCGAATGGCCCGTTGTAGCAGCAACCTATTAGAAAGGGGGGACACAAGTGTGAGTCAGTCACGAGTGGGTGGGACTGGTGTTCCAGGTTTGATTGTCAAAAAGTCACTTTGGTGATACAACTCCTGAATTGAAGGGCCACGAAAGTTAGATATTAGGATGTTGAATGCAGAGGAAATTTCAGATAGGCACCAAAATCCCTTATATAACTAACTAGTTACAGTAGATATAGGCCAAAGTCCACCTCATGCAGCTATCTTCACAATCTGTTTTGCACTGATCAACCGGAGACAGCTTGTGAGACATACTGTACTTCTTACCCAGAGATGAACAACCATTGCCATTTGTTTATAATACAAAGTTGTGTAACTCATCCCCTGCATCAGGGGAATTGCCTTGGTTGGCTTCTCAAGTGGGTATCCAGCTAGCTAATATCAAGCTAGCGGTTAACTAACCAGCAAGTAGTCGGCAAGTTCGTGCACTTCATTGCTATATTTAACTGGCTTGCAACGTTAGCTACATAGCTGGTTAGCTTACAAGCTAACTAGCTAGCTAGCTAGCTTGCAAGCTAATGTTAGCAAACAAACTTCTGTCATTAACAGTTAGCTACCTGTGCGATACCTGCACCCATCTGACCACCCCCGATGATCGTAACGTGTTTGATCGCTGCATTTCGGACTGCAGAAGAGGAGAGACCTCTGATGACTTGGTGAGTGAAGAAAGCCATGGTTTTCAAGGGGTAGAGGACCGCACCAGAATAAAGGAGCTGGCTGTGGCTGAACGTACAGGCAGACTGACACTCAGACAGCGTGGAAGGTCGTTGTAAGCAGTGGTCACGTGACTATTTAGCCCATTCCACGACCTTTCACACAGTTTTGATGAGGCGTGTTTTATTAGAGATCCCTACTATTGCTCTAATATAGGAATAAGTCAATAATAACATTGTAGTTTGATAGGATGCAATAGCACTTTCTACTGAGAAGACAAGAAGTGTGTGCAACTGTTGCATCAAAGCACATCAAGATCATAATTTCATTTATTTTATTGCCATAATGCAATAGACAGCTCTCTTCAAAATAACTATCGTAACCTGAATGCAAATAAATCACTCATAATCCTTTCGTTTATTCCGTAACGCAGAAAGGCCTAAACTAAAACCTCAAACAGTTAATAGATATTCCAAGCTGTAATAAAATGTTCCGTTAAAATGTTCAGTTAAAACATTTAAAATTGCAAAATGTTACATTAACACACTTTTACATTCCCTGTGCACATTTTCAGCATCAACATAAATAAATTAAATAGCTATAAACACTGCACGGTTCCAAATGAGACAGCTCTTGTGAGAAGGTAGTAAGCAGCCCTTAATGAGTAAGATAAAACCTATAATAATATCAACATCATGGCTTCTTTGAAAACAGGTCTGTGCTAATCAACAAATCACAATCAGCTATTGTTGACAATCAACTTCAAGTCCATCCATGATGCATCTCCTCACATTCCCCTTTCAAATAAAATCCTCATAGTGTTATTTGGGTTCAATTAGTGTTCTATGAGTTTTCTATGGGTCACAGAACCTCATGATCACTGGAATCCAAGTAGTGAGTGCCCTGCCACCAGAATTATAAATCTAGTTGTTTGGATCCTGGATGCTGATTGGACGAGCAGCGTTCCAAGCCTTGCTGTATTGGCCGTCACAGACACACCTATGCCTGCTAACAGTTTCATCTGAAAATGGTCACTGCGCCTCCATAATAATATCATGCTCATGTTGCTGTCCTAATCATCTCTTGTATTTATCTCAACTCGCACATGATTTCCCCTTGCTTCCAGCATAGCATTTAATTTGGTACAGCGGGGGTTAATATAAACCTCGCTGTCTGCCCGTCCTACCTCCGCAACAATGTTTCATTTTTGAATTTCGATCTCTGTAGTACCATACATAGGGTGAACCGTGCCCAGACGAGACGAGACAACTTTTTCTGAGCCAGTCGAAATCACCTATCAACGTCATTATCATAAATGCTAATAGAAAAACGTTTATTGTGTTTTTGTAAACAACAGTAGACTGAAGTATTTGTTTCAGGAAAGGAATATTATATGAAAGAATTTTGGGTGAGAGCATCAAAAAAATTACCAACAAATCATGAAATAAACAAAAAACTAATTTAATTATGCATAACACAACAATAGGCATCCCCAACAAAGTTAACAGATTTTAAAAAAAAAAAAAGAAAAAAAAGGTAATAACCAACATCGTCATGATGTTAATATTTTGAGGGAACATTGCATTTTTTCTTCAAAACTGGTATCCGTTTGGTCCAGATGAACTTTAACACACTTACATTTGAGTGGCACCTGACTTTGAAAGCTTCCCAGTCACTTTCAGTTTCAAAATGCGAAATGAACACATTCTCGAAATTACCTGGATGCAGTCTTTAATGCAATACAGTTCACACTGGAAAGGACTCTACATGGCTTCCAGGACACAGCGGCTGACTGCTCTCCAGTTGGACTCAATGTCTCTATCCCCATTATTACATTGTCCCTTCAGTCTGAGAAGTTGGGCCTCCAAATCCCTCCACTTCCGTTTCCTCGGTGGAGGTGCCTCACCTCTCTCTGCCATTGTGTTTTTTTCACTCTGCCAGTGACTGACAATCTGTCAGGTGACAGATGAATAGCCAGAGAGGAGGATGGCGCACTTGCACTGCATCATTTAGTGTCCGGTGGTAAACTACAGAGAGAGAGAATATTAAAACATTAAAAGAAAGAGCAAACAGGACACAAAACGTTTGCAAACATGACGTTCTACACCTCAGGGTAGCGTCTCACAACTTGCCAGGTGCGTCTGTCATTAATAAGCGTGCTAAAGTTAATCTGGACCAGAGGCAGGTAACCCCGGGGCCGTGATCTTGCGGATGACCTCAGCCAGGTGACGATCTGCTGAAAGGGAACAGCCAATCCGAGCTGTTGGAACCTCTTCCATAGAGCTTGGTTGAAATGGAAGTAACAGCTACCGACGGTGGCTTGGTGAAACTCGGTTTCCAGTGCAGTCTTCAACAAGTTTTCAAAGTCGCAGACCACAAGTTGAGGGCGCCAGCTGTGGTGGGTCACTCGCCTGATGGCTGCTCTGATAGCTTGGAACACTTGCCTGTAGTGTCTAATGGTGCATTGCTCCATCAGCACATGTACTACAAAACCACGATGGCTCCCCAGTTTGGTTAAAATGTTTCTGTAGGGTCGAGGACAACTTTTAAAGGTACCATCTATGTAGACTGTTCTGCAACGTTGCAGCTCTGTCAGGTTTTCATTCGTTGCAAACACCATTATTCCCCAGTCATTGTCGGTGTGTAACAAAAATCGTTCTTGGGCCCATGTTTCAGCCCATTGGCCTTCGATCACCACTTCTTCCACAGTCCCTGGAATGGGTGGCATCGCTTCAGACCTGGCTCTTTGCATGATTGATCTGATGGACTTGATTGATCTGAGGCTTTTGGTGGCCACACCACCTCCCTGCCGGCCCAGTCAAACACATTCCGCATTGTAAACCTGGTTTATTGGTACAGTCAGATCCCACCTCACCTCTGCTGTAACACTCTGTCAGGATGGGGTTGTGCTCACCATTCCCACGTCTGGGGGATGCACATGGTCATGGACCTCGAGTACTCATATTTGGATTTGCATCTTCAGCACCTCCACTGAATGTTGTCACCCCTTGGAAAGAGTTAAGACAATGACTAAGTTATATGTAGAGAATGTTTGAACACGCTTATACTCTTACTATTTTAACATTAACGGGATTCATTTGCTCAGACAACTTTGAGTGGCATGTGCTGTGACACACCCACAAAGTCAACTTGAGTTTAGAACAGGAGTTGTCAAATGTGCTGCTAGTTTTGAAAGTTTTTGAAACAGGGAAAACCTACCACAGACAATGAACATAGTTTTTTTGATGGTTTATTGGTTTTTGCAAGGTACAAAAACGATATTACAATAAACATGCATCTGATCTGTTATTGATGGTGCTTATTTACTAATTCACAGGGATGGGCAAAAGTTACAAAATATAATACAAAATACAATTACAAAATACTCTAAAGAACAATGTTTCAAAATAAATTATAAAATACTTTTGCAAAGTAATTAAAATACACATCACATTTGCAAGTAGCCCCCTTAACAACAACATAATTCTTAGTAACGGTGGTTGTTTTATCTACCTTAGTTGAGTAAGAGTGTCTGCTAAATGGCCAAAATGTAAAGGTAAAAATAAACACTTGCAAAGCACACTGGGAATTATTCTAATGAGCTCAGCCCCAAATAATTTGTATTGTAATTACATTTGGCCTTGTTTGGGGACGGATATCATTAGAATAATACCTAGTTTGCTTTGCAAGTGTTCATGTTCACATAACATTTTGGTCATTTAGCAGACGCTTTTATTACACCATAGTGGCATCACACTTCTCGGTAGGGGGACCTCCTATGTCTGCAAACACTTTTTTTTATGGGCCTAATCATAGAATTACATATAGAATCCCTATTAATTTAATAGGATCTCTATTGGCCAAATAGTAAAAGATTTGTCATTTAACTTTTTAAATGTATTAGCCTACCTTTTTAATGTGTCATAAACACAACCAGTCATGATGTTTTCATCAGGTTGTCAAACAATTACTTCAAAATGCTAATTTAGGCTACCAGCACACGCTACTCAGGAATGGCTCATTTAGATCTTTTTCTGCTTATAATTTTGGACATTTGGTAGGTTATTTGTTAGTAAACTTGTCTATAATTAGATACATGCAGCTTCTCTTCTGTCATTACCTGGTGCTCATCTAGAATACTAAATAAAGCCTCGCTCATCAGAAATGTCATAAATCGATAGAATGATCATTGCATCATCAACAATGTAGTTGACATTTGTAAAGATTTCTCTTAAATTTCTGCTTCTCTCGCGGAGCAAAGGCGTTTAGGGACCAGGGAGATTTCCAAATTAAAACAAACAGTCAGATTTTCTCCACTCCATGTTCCAGAGACAAATTAGGGAAATAGGTTAGGAAATAGTTAGGCTAACATAGCAGAGGGAACATAGGCAAGGAACATAGGCTTCGCAGTAACATTGGGACATGGACATAGGGCTGAGGGAACATAGGTTGAAGGAACATAGGGCCGAGAACATAGGCTGAGGGACATAGGCCGAGTAAATAGGCCGAGGGAACATAGGGCTGAGGAACATAGGACTGAGGGTAACATAGGGCGAGGGAACATAGGCTGAGGAACATAGGGCCAGGGACATAGGGCCGAGGTAACATAGGGCTGAGGGAACATAGGGCCGAGGGAACATAGGGCTAGGGAACATAGGGCGAGGAACAGGCAGAGGGAACATAGGGCAGAGGGAACATAGGGCCGAGGTAACATAGGGCCGAGGGAACATAGGGCGAGGGAACATAGGGCCGAGGGAACATAGGGCGAGGGAACATAGGGCTGAGGGAACATAGGGTTGAGGTAACATAGGGCTGAGGGAACATAGGGCCGAGGTAACATAGGGCTAAGGGAACATAGGGCCGAGGTAACATAGGGCTGAGGGAACATAGGGCCGAGGTAACACAGGGCTGAGGGAACATAGGGCTGAGGGAACATAGGGTCGAGGGAACATAGGGCTGAGGGAACATAGGGCCGAGGTAACATAGGGCCGAGGTAACAGACATGGTCCCCCTGCATAGCACCAATGTTGTTTAGAACGGACTACCAGTACTTTTGCATAGCAACTATGCAAAAATAATTAAAGACTGGGTGGCATCTGTAGCAACATGACCAAAAGAACTAACAACCAGATTTTTGTCTGGACTATATCTTCTGAAGGAAGAATTAAATGGAATGAATTGAATTATCAAAATAAAGTTTTCATGAAAATATGTAATTCATTGTTATTTTAATATATTGGTAATAGTTTTATAAAAGCAATAAGGATATCGCGTCGGGCCGAACAACGTCATTTACCTGTGACTGTATTCATGATACACCACTGCCTCTTGTGCCTTATGGCTTAATTACGGTACCAGGGATCGTAGTCTGTCTGGTGGCCTCACCGCCGGGGCCTCACAGTCACAGTGTATGGGCAGGGGGCCAGGGTGAGGCCAAAGCGCCCGTGCATGGGAGGAGGGGGCAGCCCCTGGGGCAGTCTGAAACTGAGGGCCTGCAGCAGGCTGGTGAACATCAGGAAACAGCTCCATCTTAGCCAGCTGCTCGCCCATACACACCCTGCGTCCTGAGAAAGGGGGAAAAGAACACTGTAAAGATACACATTAAGTCGTCATTGTAAATAAGAATTTGTTCTCAACTGACTTGCCTAGTTAAATGAAGGTTCAATAAAAATTAACAAAATAAAAAACTCATGGTCATACTACGTGCATGCCAATAATCCAGTAAAATTGTGAAATAAAATTATTAAAATGTTCAGTCGTGGCCTAACTGCTCCATAGTCATGCAGGGGGTAGTGTGGGACTTCAATAACCCAGAGAGAGTGTGAATTAACCTTTTAAAACTTGTTTCTGTGGATTTTACAGTAGCCTAACTGTTAATGTCCACAGTAGAAATGCTTCATTCTCAGTGTATACCGTGTGACTACACTCAGTTTGCCAGTTGTAGAGCACGTCTCTAATAGGACACACACATACGTCTGTCGAGAGACTTCCTTATGACCTACCTATTCCGAACGGTATGAACCACTCCTTCCTCAGGAGCTTCCCCTGGTCGTCTAGGAAACGAGAGGGGTTGAAGTCGTCTGGCTCCTCCCACACAGTGGAATCCCTATGGACAGACCACAGGTTGGGGATGATCACTGTGCCCTTAGGGATTGTATAGCCACGGAACTCTGCAAGACAACAACAGAAGAACCATAGTAAAAGGGTTGTCCTTTCCTCTGTTTCTGCTGCAGCAGCCTAGTCCCTGTTGTAGTGTTAGTCTGGTGGAACTGACCAAGTTGTTGAGAAAGCAATTCAATACAACTTTATTGATCTGACTGTGCATAACGGAAGAGTCAGGTTCTACCATAGAATTAGAATGACTAGTATGGGATTCTATCGCTATGGTTTCTCTCTCCTCACCTGTGGTCTCTGAGGCCATGTGAGGGATGGCCAGGGGGACCACCACAGTCATCCTCTGCACCTCCATGATGGTGGCCTCTGTGAACGGCAGGCTGCCTTTATCAGTGAGAGACGGGACCCTGTCTGGGCCCACCACCGCATCGATCTCCGCCTGCACCCTCTCTGTGGTGTAAACGGGTACAAATGACATGGGAAACATTATTACAAAGCAACAAGAGCATTGGGAAACGGGACACTGGATAAGTTACACATAGCATTATGATTGGGTACTGTACTGCATCATCATGTTACAACAAGGAGTTCTCTTTAGGTTACATTGAATTGGTCCTCCACACCCCTCTTTCTGTATTTCAGGAACCCTGTTTGATGATGTAGTACCTTGGATATCTGGATACACGACCATGTAGAGCATCATCCACAGCACTGTGTTGGTGGTGGTATCAGTACCAGCGATGAAGAGGTCTCCTATGATGTAGAACAGATAGTCCTCTGAGAAGCTACTGTCCGTCTCCCCAGCGGCCTCCTGGGCCAGCATCTCTACCAGGTACATGTCTATGAGATCTCTGGGGTTGGCTGGGTCTAACGTCTCCCTGTGCTTGGTGATGATCTGCTTCAGGAAGGCAGTGATGTCCCTTTCCACTTGCCGTACCTCTCTGAAGACACCGAAGGGCAGGTAGTAGAGCAGGGGGAAGACATTGATGAGGACCGCTGCGCTGTTAGAATAGGATAGATAAGTTACTTCCTGTTTTTTGGGAGAAACTGAAATGTGTTAAGTGCTTAATGGCACACAGCAGGAAATGCTACTTGACATCAGTGACCAGCAGCCCTCCAGTTACCAGTTCAGTTCCCACTTCTTACGCCCGGCTGGGGTTTGAACAAGCCAACCTGCCGGCTACTGATCTGCCTCTCTAACCTCTAGGCTACCTGTTGGCGATGATCTCTAGGCCGCGGGCCATCAGGTCCAGCAGGGCGCCAAACTCCCGGTCAGCGTGGTGGAAGCGCTGGCCCAGGGCGATGTAGGAGATTACGTTGGACACAGAGTTAGTTATCAGAGGAGTCAGGTCCACTCCAGAACCCTCAGTATCTTCCTCGCTGAGACGCAGCAGCTCAGATTTGACCACAGCCAGCCCCTCAAGGATACAGGGCTCCAGGCTCAACTTGCCCAGGCCAAAGTTCCGCAGCGTGGTGTGGCAGAACTTGCGCTGCCTTCTCCATACTGGGCCATAAGGTGCAAAAACTATGCCTAAGGATCAGAGAAATTATAAGAGGAGAGGTCGGCTAATAATGCCCTCACTACGCACTAGTACATATGTAATTATTTACAGAGCAAAATAGAATTTATATTTTATTTTCTGCTTGGAAGACCTTTGATGAGAATAATAGAATATAATAATAGAACAGAGACACAGGAGAGGAGGGCTTCTTCGGTTTATAGTTCATCCATGAAGTGCTCTTTGATCATGGGATGAAATACTATCAAACAAAAAGAAGTAGATGCTGGTTAGTAAACAATGCCGGAACAGCTTTTGTGCAAACAAACTTCCAGAAGTAATCAAGGCACTCTCATGTAGTGGTAAAAAAAAAAAAAGCATTTATTGTTTTACGGATTATGCATGGCAAGAATAAAAAATCACTGACGCGTTGCGGCTACAACAGCCTTCATCAGGGTGACAGAGAATAGTGGTGGACAAGCAGGTGTATATCCCAACTCTCACAGAAAGTGACTCACTTCATTACCATACTGTATGTAATTGATCAAGTAAAAAAACTTGGGGAAAAACACATTCAAGATATGAAGATTAACAAAATAAACATGGCAGAACAAGAATGCAACACCACAAAATAAATGCAATATCATAAAAGGAAAAAACTAACTGTGAACACATCAGCTCATGTTACCAAATGTAAGAATGGGGAACAAAAAAATAAACCACATATCTCTTACAGGAAGGGAAAATAATCAATTTCCTCATTTAGACCTGGCAATACAGTGGCCCTTAGTTTAAAGATCCAGAATGTTTTGCGAGAACTGGGAACCACTTCAATGGCCATGGCCTTCAGAGAGTTTGGGCTGACTATGTGTTGTACAGGCTGGAGTGTCCATATGGGTACTTTTACATAGGACTTACTTTTACATAGGACATACTAAGAGAAGGCTCAAGGACAGGGTGTCTGAACATGTCTGTGCTATAAGGACTGCTAACGTCTCAAACGCCTCCTAAAATGTGGAACGTTCTGGATCTTTAAACTAAGGGCCACTGTATTGTCAGGTCTAAATGAGGAAATTGATTATTTTCCCTTCCTGTAAAAGATATGTGGTTTATTTTTTGGTTCTCCATTCTTAAGTTTGGTAACATGAGCTCATGTGTTCAGTTAGTTTTTTCCTTTTATGATATTGCATTTATTTTGTGGTGTTGCATTGTTGTTATGCCATGTTTATCTTTGTATCTTGAATGTGTCTTTTCCCAAAGTTTTTTTTTTACTTTATCATTTACATATGGTAATGAAGTGAGTCACTTTCTGTGAGAGTTGGGATATACACCTGTTTGTCCACCACTATTCTTTGTCACCCCGATGAAGGCTGTTGTAGCCGCAACGTCGTTTTTAAAACATTTTTTTTTATTCTTACCATGCATGAGCCATAAAACAATGAAGGCGTTTTAATTTTTCCATTACATGATTACTTCTGGAAGTTCGTTTGCACAATGGCTTTTCCAGCATTGTTTACTATCCAGCATCAAATTATTTTTGTTTTATAGAACAATAGAATATTCACTGAGCAAAACGCTCATCCAAGACCGCTCATACGATGAGTAAAAGTCGACCTCTCCTAAATGTATTGACTATTATGCTTTCATGCGTTATTACGCACAGGTTGTGTCTAGAATCAGCACTTACCTTTCCGCTTTGTCATGATGGTAACGGTGGGAATCTCTGGTCTGTCGGAGAACACATCTGCCCGGTTTGAGAGGGCATCCCTGACCACTTCATATCCGTTCAGTACTACTACCAGCTGACTCCCTACCCACATGCTGTAGATGTTACCGTAAACTTTAGCTTGTTCCGTGATAATAACTTGAGGCGATATTACAGTTCGTGTCTTTGACTTTGGGACGTTCTCCTCTCCCCGGCCTCCAAACCTCCTCCAGATGAAATTGGGAACCAGAAACCCCCCGATATTGCCAACTATTGGCCATGGTTTAGGACCAGGAGGAATATTGGAGAAATCCTGGTGTTCGCGAAATGTGTACATTAGATAATAGACTGCCACGAATACTGTCAAGGCCAGAATGCAGACATGGGACAGTGCAGAAGTGCGCAGGAGCTCGTGCCATGATTCAATAACCATGGTGTCTATCTCGGCTGCAAAGCAAAAAATGTAACCTCGTAATACTTAGAAGCGAGTTGAATATTCTGACTCGTCAAAATATTCGAAGTATTTTCTGAAAGGATAAAGTGTCTGCCATGTTATTTGTGAAAGAAAACGACGCATGGTGATTTCTAGCTTCCTATTGGTAGGGGGAGAGTACGGGTGGTGTGATTGGTGCGTTGATAGATGACGGAGGCAAAGGGGTTGACCCGAGCGAGCTTCATACGTCTCCTCCTAATATCTGCACTTTGATTGGACAAACTGAAGACAACGTGTTATTTTTTATTATGAAGGTATAAATTATGGTACATTAGAACACACCGTCATTCGCACACAATTGAAATCACAGAGGACTGTGTCAAAATGAAAATGAGAAAGCTTTGTCAAAAGTTTATTATAACGAAAAACAATATCTTACTCTTTATGCAGAGACTAAAGACTAAATGCAAATTAAAACAATTGTGAAAACAAACATCTTAAAGTTTGCTATTTTAAATTGCATGCATTTGTATTTAAATGCACATTTTGGAAATTAAAAAGTTCTTCAAATCTTTATAAAATCAAATTGATTTAAACAATGTATAGCGCTATAAAATAATATTGGAGTTTTGAGTAAATCTGCAAGTCAATGGCAAAGCACTGCATGACTTCACAACATGATGACTTCAGTTGAGTTTGTTACAGTAACATTCACAAGAATAAAGAACATTTTGCAATAAACAGATCAACTTGACCTCATAAATAAAATACATTGTAGTGGTGAAGAACAGAAGGACCAAATGTGGAGTATGTTATTCTTTGCACATAATTTCCCTATATGACCCTTCATTTCCTCACAAACTTGAAATATCCTTCACATAATACCTTAAAATCACATAATAGAGCATAAATACAAAATAGGTTGGTGTGTTCAAAGCAACACTGGCGGTGAATGCCTGGACTGGATCGTGTTCATTAGACACCAAACAGAAGAAAACGGACCCAAAAACTATCTGAACTTGTCCAATGAGAAACGCTCATATGTTTTTTTTGTTGCAAAACATTTTGCAACGTGTGTGCCCTAATGAACATGAACCTGGACTGGGCTGGGCTGGAGCCCCTACTCCTCCCGCAGGCTCTGAACTGCACTGTACTTCTTACAGGAGTTCTTAAGGCAGGCAGGGGGCCAGGTGATTGGTGAGCAGAAGGAGCAGGGCACCTGGGTCTGCACGTTCCTCTCAAAGAAGTTGAACACTGGGTTCCACCAGGTGTTGGTGAGGTAGTTGTTGGGCGAGCACCGCAGGGCCTGTCAACAAAAAAACTACTTTAAAATGTGAGCATTAGCACAATAAACAAAGTCAAGTGTAGGAAGAGCCTTACTGAAGAATAAATAGGCCTCTTTATTTCTCCTCAGGCTAAAGCCCAAAACTATTGTAAACTTTGGCATAAACGTTGCCTAGCAATAGTACTAATATAGATATGTAGAACATGTAATTTTGTGGTGTCTAATTTGTGCAATTCAATAACCAATGAAAATGTTGATGATCATGTAACTGACAACTATAAGGGAAGGAGCTGTAACAGTAAATGTCAGGCCCTATTATGAAAGTTTTTGACCAGCAGGGAGGAACACCATGCCAACAGTCTTAGTTTTGACCAGCAGAGGGAGGAACACCATGCCAACAGTCTTAGTTTTGACCAGCAGAGGGAGGAACACCATGCCAACAGTCTTAGTTTTGACCAGCAGAGGGAGGAACACCATGCCAACAGTCTTAGTTTTGACCAGCAGAGGGAGGAACACCATGCCAACAGTCTTAGTTTTGACCAGCAGCGAGAGTAACACCATGCCGACACAACATTGTTGACACTGCTTTCAAACAAAACGTTCACACTTGTAATTCACAGAACTATGGGAGGTTTACATAAACATTTCCCTGAAACATGAAGGTCATTCCGTTAACATTAGGTTAATCATTATGTTAACAAGTAGCTAGCGGTCTTTTCTTGAGGTGAATCTCACAGGGTGGGTAGAGCCATCGATCATGATCCTAGCCAGGCTTAATGGACGAGGATGAGGGTGTACTCTGAGTTGTGTAAACACTGTGGTAGGTGGTTCAGAGGAGTGTGTGAGTGCTTCTGGCATTGCACGCGCACACACGGTCTGGTTCTAACACACAGAGAGAGAGCTCGTCTGAGCTCAACCCCTAATGCACGGAAGTGTTCCAGTACACCCCTGAGGTCACTAGATGACCAACATTCTATACTCTAAACACAGTAATGTACGGGGTTAAAATACCTACCTACCGCATGAGGTTGGTTTACAACACCAAGGCATACACATAACACTATAGACAATGCTGTACTTTTGACGTCTTGAGATAATACCACTTCTGATTGACTTTTCAAAAACACTCTAAAAAGGTAATTGACAGATAGCCCTCATTTGTTGTGTGGTATTTGTAGTCTTTTCTGTAAAAAACACTTTTGAAAGGCTCTAACTGGCATGGTGATAAGCATTCTTAAAACGTCCAATGCAGCCATTTTTATCTCAATATAAAAGGTAACAATTCAGTACCTTACTGTGTTTTGACATACAATGGTCACAAAGAAACAAATAGCTTCTTAGCAAAGAGCAATTTCTCAAGCAAGAATTGTGTTAGGACTGTCTGGGAGTGGTCTGAGTGGGGAGGGGAAAACTGAAAACTAGCTGTTATTGGCAGAGAGGTTTGGAACTCTTTCTTTTTGGTCTATTAACTAATTTACCACCTGGTGATGTCAACAGGCAGGCCAAAACTACATCCCACTAAATCAGTTTGACATTTCAGCCAGTCTTTTCAAACAGCTCTTACACTAAAAGGGCATTATCATCATTTTCACAGTATTATTCCAACATCCGTGTGGAAATATTTAAGGAAATACAGGAAAATCAAGTTGACGACTGCACTGGGCCTTTAAGCTGCTGTATTGTCAACACATCCACAGAAGTCAGCAGTAGATATTGAACAAGCTGCTTCTCAAAAGGGACACCTAAAAAAAAAATCAAATAAACACTTGGGTGTAATTCAATTCACCTTATAAAGAAGGTTCATTCAACTCTTACCCTTTTCTGTTCTACCTGATAATTAATTGCACCCCAGGTCTAAATCAGTCCCTGATTATAGGGGAAGAATGAAAAAAATGCAGTGGATCTGGCTTCGAGGTCCAGAGTTGAGTTTGAAGGTTCTGAAGCCTGGTAAGCAGTTTCTGCTGGACAGTATCAGTCCATTTGCAGTATCATCTAGTGTCGACTTTATGATCTCTATCCATCTGCTGTATTATCTATCTGCTTCTACTACATGATAGTATAATGTCACCTGGACGTTGGCCATGGTGTGGCACCACCAGAAGATAAACTATTACTCTGTCTTCTATCATTCTAGTGTCTACAGCACACGTGTCAAACTCATTCCACAGAGGACCGAGTGTCCGCAAACAAACGTTAAAGGTGCATGCCGCCACCTACTGTGCTGGAGTGTGTGGTCAATCACGGTTTACAACATTTCTAAATCCTCCTACCTAACTCAGTACTTCTGAGAAAATAAAGAAGAACTCTACTAACTTCTAATAAACCCCCCCCCCCCAACCAACCCCCAACCTCAATGACCCTACACTTCAATCTTTCCCTCTCTTCAACATACTTACAACAATCGCTACTCCCTTGTCCTTGATTGATGAATTAAGTTCACTGATTAGTAAGGAACTCCCCTCACCTGGTTGTCCTGGTCTTAATTGAAAGGTAAAACCAGCAGACACTAGGCCCTCCATGGAATGAGTTTGACACCCCTGGTCTACAGTATCAATATTTCATCTGGACATTGGCATGGTACCAGTGTAACTCTATCTACAGCCCTCAACTCTGGACCTCGAAGCCAGTGCTTTTTATTTTGTTCCCCTATAATCAGGGACAGATTTAGACCTGGGACACCAGGTGGGTGCAATTAGTTATCAGGCAGACCAGAAATCCAGCAGGCGCCAATCCTCATAGGGTAAGAGTTGAATACCACTGATCTACAGTATCAATATCACAGGAGGTTGGTGGCACCTTAATTGGGGAGGACGGGCTCGTGTTAATGGCTGGAGCGGTGGAATGGTATCATACATATGGTTTGATGCCATTCCATTCGCTCTGTTCCAGCCATTATTATGAGCCGTCCTCCCCGCAGCAGTCTCCACTGATCAATATCTCACCTGGACGACCAGAAGAGAATATGTAATTTTTTAAAGATGTTACATTGTCACTTACACCAGAAATACAGTGAAATGTGTTGTTTTACAGCATTAGCCAAAGTAGTACGGCGCCACTGGAGCAAATCAGGGTTAAATGCTTTGTTTCAGGACACAGACCGTTTTTCACCTTGGGTATTCGAACCAGTGACCTTTCGGTTACTGGCCCAACCCTCTTAACCTCTAGGCTACCTGCCACCCCATTACCATATCTAGTATCAGTATCAGCATCATTCTAGATTCTAGTATCAACATCTCACCTGGACGTTGGCCATGGTGTGGTACCACCAGAAGAGGCGTGAGGTGATGAAGTAGGCCACCACCACATCCACACTGTAGTGTTCGTGGGCCACCAGGATACACACCACCCCCACAGCAGCTAGCAGCCAGCACATCAGGTGGTACCACCAGAACGTCCGCGGGGAGTCTGGGCGAGAGGAGAGACAGAACACACACTAGACCAAGGCTGCCCAACCCGCTTCCTGGAGCTCTACTGTCCTGTAGGTTTTCAGACCAACCCTCTTCCTGGAACTCTACTGTCCTGTAGGTTTTCAGTCCAACCCTAATTTAGCATATCTGATTCAGCTAGTTAAGGTCTTGTTGAGCAGCTAATAAGTAGAATCAGGTGTGTTAAATGAGGGTTGGACTGAAAACCCACAGGACGGTAGATCTCCAGGAAGAGGGTTGGACTGAAAACCCACAGGACGGTAGATCTCCAGGAAGAGGGTTGGGCAGCCCTGCCCTAGACGTTCTTTCATTTCATTAACCTGGTCAATGTTAAGTGGATGGCTGTGTAAACATATGAGTCTGGAGGAGAGGGGGGACAGAAACAGGGGGTTGTGTATGTCGTCAGGGAGGTCAGATGTTGCATCCTTTTTGAACAAGCCCCACATGGGAGGGAAGGTAATAGTCCAGGGGTGTCAAACTCATTCCATGGAGGGCCTAGAGTCCGCTGGATTTGGTTTTTCCTGTCAATTAAGACCTAGACAACCAGGTGAGGGAAGTTATTTACTAATTAGTGACCTTAATTCATCAATCAAGTACAAGGGAGGAGTGAAAACCCACAGACACCCCCGTGGAATGAGTTTGGCACGTGTACTAGAGCAGGGTTTTCCATACTCGGTCCTGGGGCCCCCCTGCCCTGGGTGCACGTTTTGGTATTTGCCCTAGCACTACACAGTCGATTCAAATTATCAAAGCTTGATGATGAGTTGGTTATTTGAATGAGCTGTGTAGTTCTGGGGCAAAATGTGCACCAGGACCGAGTTTGGGAAACCCTATAATAGAGGATCAGGCCACACCTAGAAAATGTCCCTCCATCAACAAAATGTGGATCTGCCCGGTACTAACTAATCCAGAACGTTTTCAGAGATCATGATGCCGTAGCTATGGGACCTAGTTTGACCTAACATATAATCTAATTTAATCTAATCTAGATGAGAATATTATATACGTGTGTAGTCATAGTAATCAATAATTAACAACATTCAGATCTAATCTCCCCAATAGGCTGCAGAGGAGTGACAGTACCAGTGGGAACCCTTGATGAGACTGAGTGTGTAAATGGTGGTGGAGTCACTGTGTGTGTGTGTGTTTGTGTGTGATTTTCTATCCAATACTCACACTCCTTAATGAACAGGTAGGTGAGGGTGAGCATGACGGTGTGTCCACTGTAGAGGAAGTCGCCACACATGAGGTGGGAGCCGGTGATGGACAGACCGCCGCCGGAGATCAACGTCAGCACACGCTGCATCTTAGCGTGAGAGTCTCCATACAGCTGAGAGAGAGATGGATGGAAAGAGAGAGAAAGAGGTAGAAGGAGAGAGAGATTAGCTTGACAGACAATTTAAGCAGCTTCAGTTACAGGAGTGAAATGAAGAACATTATACAAAACATCTCTGTAACACAAACAATGGTCCCTTGTGGCTAATTTGGTAGAGCATGGCACTTGCAACGCCAAGGTTGTGGGTTCGATTCCCACGGAGGACCAGTACAAACAAAATATAAAAATTGATGCACTCACTACTGTAAATCGCTCTGGATTACTATGAGCCTGTGTTAATGGATAGAATTGTACCTATCCAATGAAATTCCAATTAAACTCCTGTCGTCGCCTTTCTCCCGTTGGATCACTGTACCACAATACCCAGAAAACCTCTAATCCCCGGGGCATATATTTCCCATCGAACTCAAGACAGGATGCAATAACGTTTGTGTCCCCAGGGTTCGAATCTTATCCTGAGTCAAAATTGTTTTTTTATGAGCAGCTATTGAGCGTGGCAGGCAGCTCGATATGAGTTCTGGAGGGAGCCAGGATGAGATCACGGCAGGACTTGGTTCACATGCCACAGCTGACACACACACACACACACACACACCCCTCTACCTACCTTGGGGGCGCAGGTGAAGTGATTGCCTGGTACAGGAAGGGTTGTGATGTACATGGTGACACAGCGGTACAGATAGAGGGTGCCAATCAGGAAGAAGAACCTCCGACCTGCAATCGACCTGGAAACAAACACACAAAGTGTAAATAAATGATGTCATCAAACAGGCCACTGTTAAAAAGGGCTTGCGGAACATTTCTCTTGGACATAGACCAGTGGAGGCTGCTGAGGGGAGGATGGCTCATAATAATGGCTGGAACGGAGCAAATGGAATGGCATCCAACCATGTGTTTGATGTATTTGATACCATTCCACGTACTCCGCACCAGCCATTACCACGAGCCCATCCTCCCCAATTAAGGTGCCACCAACCTCCTATGACATAGAAATAATGAAACTGTAATGTTCAGCATACTGTAGCACTTAATGTAGCCTACAAACACTGTCTTATACTGTTTAAGCTGAATGTTGTATAGTCTGGTTAGAATTTCACATACATGGGGATAGTCTTTGACACAGATATCCCAAGATAACCGTTCTCTTACTTGTATCTGAGGAAAAGCCACTGAATAACCCAGATCCCCACCAGGAGCATGCCGTTGATCTCGGTGACCGTGAACGCCCACTTGACCCGGTCGATGTAGTCAAAGAACTTATCGGGCAGTGGCGGGCTGCTCTCCTTCTCCGGGACCCTCTCGTGGACGACTGTGATGACCACGGTGGTCAGGACCAGGTTGAAGATGGCGTAGAAGAACGCGATGGCCGTCTTCCACCACTCCATGGGCAGCCGGTTGCCCTTGGTGTCGGGCAGCGAGATCTTGACGTAGTCCCTGTGGTGCCCCATGACCTTGCGGAGGCATCGTTTGGTGTCCGCCGGGGTGTTTTGCCCGTGTTTGGGGCAGTTGGCGTTGGGGAGAACCCCAAAGACACTTGCGAGGACCCCGCTCTCACCATCCATGCCCGGGTCCAGATGGGATGCAGTCGGGTCCACAAGCGCCATGGTCCAACACTGTCTACTGTCCACACACACTGCTGTACCAATGAAGAGCTCTCTGGTTCACCCAAAGTCAGCTAGTGCCTCTGAGGGCCCTGGATAAATAGGAATTAGTCCTTGTTGTTGGGCCTACTGTATTTGGTTTGACTGAGGCAAAAATGTCTTCCCCCTGAAGAAGGACAAGAGGTTAGGACTTCAGTTTCACAAAGACCATGACAACATATTAAATCTGATGTGGATATTAGCCCTATTTCCACATTTCAATCAACAAGGGAAGCCATTTTGGTTCAATAGGAGTTTACTGTGTGCTTGTTTCCTGCAGGAGAAAGCAGAAAGGAGACACTGGAGACACTTGAGCCATAATGGAAGGATGGAATGTCTATCTGAGGGTAATCACTGGCTAATGTTCCTTCATTGTCTTCTATTTGGCTGGAGATGTCTGTTGGAAAGTCATTATGACAACCTCTTCTCATTCTTCAGGAAACAACAAGCAGCCGTATAGTACACTAATATCCACTACCATTACATTAGCAAAAGGACAGTTGTAAACTGAGATACTAATTAATAATACCAGAGGTCAAGGAAGTCATCATTGCGAAATGCTAGTAGGCTACAGATGTAGGATCTTAATCTGATCACCCTGTTGCAGGAGAACTTTCCTGCAATGCAGGACATTTAAAACTTGTAGTGTATTTGAGATTTAAAAAGGCTTCTGAAGTTTGTAATTTCCTATTTGAAATTTCAGACTTGATTCACCCTTCTGAAAAATGTATCAAAACCTACAAACATTTCCATTAACTATAATCCACATAATAATTCACATTTCCTGTTGCTGCAGGATTATCTTCCTGCTCTAGCAAACTAACAAATCCTCTATCTGTATGTCCCTTTCACTGCAAACTCTTCAACTACCAGCACCTGTCCTGTGATTTAAATAGTTTGGATTTAAATACCACATATTTTTCCCCCAAAAAAGCTGCCAACCTTCCAGGCAAAAAAACACAACTGTCGTGTCTCAAAATAGGTAGTCCAGGGATGACGCCAGAACCAAAATAGGAATCACTTCCCCAAAAGTTTTCGTAATGTAGCCTAAGCAAGGCTGATGGTTTCCTTTAATGCAATAGAACACTAGTACATGAAAACCCATGGCTCCATAATGATGATTTAGGATTAGGATGATGAAAAGCAGGGAGGTGGTGGAAACTTCTAGATGTTTACTTTGATTCCACTACTCTTTATATTTAGGATTAGCAAATGAAGGAGATGGAGTTTACTGTACTAGTCGTTCCTGGCTGTATCAACTTAAATGTTCCTTTTGAGTCAATCTTATCAAAATGCTCTTTGTGGTGTTTACAACTGCAGGCTACTCTAGGGGTGTTGACGTGAGTGGAGGCAGTTTAGTGTTTATTTTAACCTTTTGTAGTTGGATATTTCCCAGAAGCACTGGATCATTTACTCTTTGAAGGCTCTTATTTTGGGGACTCGGACAATTGCGCCAGACAGCCTACTTCTCAGACCTGGGTTCAAATACTATTTGAAATCATTTCAAATGCTTTATCTGTGGTTGATTGAGCTTGCATGGCTTAATGGACCAGTATAATAGTCCAAAAACTGCAAACCCTGCCCACCTGGCATTACAGGCAGGCTAGAGCAAACACTCAAAGTATTTGAAAGATTTCAAATAGTATTTGAACCCGGGCCTGGTGCTTTTATTTGAACTGCATGTTTGTTCGCTCCGTCAAGGAGGATCTGGAACGCTTATCAAATGATTAGTGACTTCGCCGCGGCAACGTTGTTCTCTTTCTTTCTCTTTCTGTCCTCCGCTGCCTGAGCTTATATCCCCAGCCTCCTCTTCCTCTCTCCTCTTGTCTGACTATATCTATTCCAGCCAGGAGCGGTCCAAATGCAGGCTTCACATGTATAGCCTTATGTTCTGCATGACTGCCTCAAGTAGTTACAGTGTAGAGGCTGCTCACTGTACACCATGTCACTTGGCTTGTGTGGTCCACCATGCATGGATGTTTGGAGATACAGGAAATAGAGGAAATGGAGATTGGTTGTGAGATGCATGTAGCACATGTGTATGTAGTTGCTGTATGTAGTGTGTTGGCCGGACAGTCACTGTACTGTAGGCTAGGTCTGAGACTTGAGAGAGAGAGAGGTAAAAAAAGAGTGAGAAGAGGGAAGGAGAGGGAGGTAGACAGCTGGGGGGGGAGAGAGATAGAGGAGAGAGAGAGAGAGAGGGTATCTGTGGAATGCCGTAGAACCTATGGACTGTCTGGTACAGGGACGGGACACCAATCAGAGGGCTTTGTCCTGATGCACAAGAACACACAATCCCATTCTACCAGCTGCCCATTCAGGTAAAGGACACACAGGGCTATTAGTCTGACACACACACACACACACACACACACACACACACGTTCAAACACACAATGCATACACACATTACACATACACACTTTACACATACATACATTACACAGACTGCACTGTACTTTGAGGTTTCTTTGAGCTAAAAAAAGAGAGCCCAACCCATTGCTTATCCAGCTTTCAAAGTGAGGGCATCTGGCTTGATTGAAGAGTCCTAAGCTACAGTATAACCTCTGACTCCAAGGCATGCTACAAATGAAATCTTCAGAAATTCAAAGTTCATTATTCTCTGTTGTCTTTCATTATTCGAGAACATTTTATTGCAACCACGTGCTTAAACTCTCAAAAAATGAACAACTGTAGCTACAAAAATAATTCAAGAATTGTTAATTTGATGTGGGAGTTGTAGATCGTTTACTGTCAACTTTCCAAAGGTTGACAAACTAGCCAAAACAAAGGACCATGACTTACCTAAAGCCACAGGTCCGTTGACTAGTAGTTTCCATTCGCGTGCTTCGTCTCGGTCACACGCCAGTATAAAGCACGGATTCTTGGACACAGGACCATGAGTTTATTTGGGACTGAGCATTTTTTTCTTGTTTCTTTTATTGTGTCGAAGAGGATCTGCATTTAAAGCAGCTATGAGCGCTTTGAGGTATTAAACCCTGGTACCAGGTCCTTACTCATTAGTGTGTATATATCTGTGATCCAAACGGGGTTGATAATAATGGTTGGTTTATAACATGTTTCCAAGTTGAAACTGAATTGATATGACTTGCGCTGAATAATAATTCATAACTTTACCTTGTGTTTGTCTGATTGTGCTGTTTCATATACTGTGGAGGCATGTTATATTTCCTCAGGTGGACCATATATTATTCTTAAGGGGTATTTTACCCACTAGGTGGAGGCACTGCACTATTCTATTTATGGTTTTTAAATTGATGTAGTTCTGTCCTTGAACTGTTCTTGTCTATTAATGTTCTGTATTATGTCATGTTTCATGTTGACCCCAGGAAGAGTAGCTGCTGCTTTTGCAACAGCCAATGGGAATCCTAATAAAATACCAAATAGTTAGGCCCACACACTCAATTCCACATGCTGCTTATTAACCCACCCACTAGATACTAGGTCCAAACTGGTATGGAACAGGTCCCTCAGAAGAGAGGGTCCTCTGTAGCTCAATTGGTAGAGCATGGCGCTTGTAACGCCAGGGTAGTGGGTTCGATCCCCGGGACCACCCATACGTAAAAATGTATGCACACATGACTGTAAGTCGCTTTGGATAAAAGCGTCTGCTAAATGGCATATTATTATTATTATAAGAGAGGACTACTCACAGAATTTGAATAGCAAAGTAGAGTACTTTGCATCTGACCCGAAACAGGCTGCATCCTGGTTTTCCAACTGAGTATTGTAGTGCACTGTTTATCTACTGTATGGTGGTGTCATTTAGCCTTAGGCAGATTGACCTAACAGTACAAAAAATTGGTTTAATTCACTGGGGAAAATCACCCCAACAACAACACTGAAGGAGAAGATACTTAATCAATAAGGCCCGAGGGGGTGTGGTATATGGCCAATATACCACGGCTAAGGGCTGTTCTTAAGCACGACACAACGCGGAGTGCCTGGATACAGCCCTTAGCCGTGGTATATTGGCCATATACCACAAACCCGGGAGGTGCCTTATTGCTATTATAAACTGGTTACCAACATAATTAGAGCAGTGAATAAATATGTTTTGTCATGCCCGTGGTGTACGGTGTGATATACCAAGGCTTTCAGTCAATCAGAATTCAGGGCTCGAACCACCCAGTTTATAATGAAGTATAAACCATGGTATAGTATTCCACTATTCCAATACAGGAGACATGAACCAAAATGGAAATGGATGCCAGTAAAATGTACTTTAAATAATGGGGCTCATCTCTGCCTGTTCTTGCTCTCTACCTCTTTTCAGTTAATGAAGTGAGAGCACTTCAGGAATGGCCTTTTTCCATTCTTCTGCACTTCAAAAGCTTCTGCCGCCTTTTAAAAGCTCCATTAACAGATACGAGTGCATCCCCGGCTTCCCCGGCTCCCACAATGCATCTTATACTGAACAAAAATATAAATGCAACATGTGAAGTGTTGGTCCCATGTTTCATGAGCTGAAATAAAAGATCCCAGAAATGTTCCATACGCACAAAAAGCTTATTTCTCTCAATTGTTTGGCACAAATTTGTATTTCATCCCTGTTGTTAGTGAGCATTTCTTCTTTGCCAAGATAATCCATCCACCTGACAGGTGTGGCATATCACGAAGCTGATTAAACAGCATAATCATTACACAGCTGCACCTTGTGCTGGGGACAATACAATGCCACTCTAAAATGTGCAGTTTTGTCACACAACACATCTCAAGGATTGAGGGGAGTGTGCAATTGGCATGCTGACTACAGGAATGTCCAGCAGAGCTTTGCCAGACAATTTAATGTTCATTTCTCTACCATAAGCAGCCGCCTCCAAGGTCATTTTAGAACATTTGGCAGGATGTCCAACTGGCCTCACAACCGCAGAACACAATTGCGTTTTATCAATGGCAATTTTAATGCACAGAGATACCGTGACGAGATCCTGAGGCCCACTGTTGTGCCATTCATCCGCCGCCATCACCTAATGTTTCAGCATGATAATGCACAGCCTCATGTCGCAAGGATCTGTACACAATTCCTGGAAGCTGAAAATGTCCCAGTTCTTCCATGGCCTGTCTACTCACTAGACATGTCACCCATTGTGAATGTTTGAGATGCTC